CTGTTAGTTGCGATGTAGCATTTACAGTGCTGTGAAGCCAAATCTGTTTTTAAAGCCTATTTTGTGCGTTTCAAACTTCTACGTGGCTGCAATAGTTAACCACGCTATATTGAGGTAAGTATTATGCAGAAGTTCGTTATAATATTGAGGGTGATGACGCATATTTTACGTAATTATGCTTTTAATGGGGTGGCTTATGGTAATGGTCTCTGGGAAATAGGACAGAAACAGGACACTCAAAGATGGGAAATCCTATCGGGGGACCTCTACTCCAAAATGAGATCGGGACCAGATGACTCCCTCTTTATCACTACCACAAACCATTCGAGGTGAACAAAAATGGATCGAGGAATGTGGACAGATATAACATTCCTTCAGGATGGACTAACCAGGTATACAGACGGGTCAAAGACCGCTGAAGGAACAGGAGCTGGAGTATTTGGGGAAAGACCAAGGGTAAGCTTATCCTTTTCCTTGGGTAAACACTCAACCGTATTCCAGACAGAAATCTTCGCCATTCTACAATGTGCGAGAGAAAACAATAGAAGAGCTTATTCAGATAAGCTCATCAATATATGCTCAGACAGTCAGGCGGGCACTTTGGGGCGCTTATGAGCCCAAAGGTCGAGACTCCGTCTGGGAATGCTCTAGTGAACTGGAAGCTCTGGCTCGACGGAACAGAGTTAAATTGGCCTGGGTGCCGGGCCACACGGCATCCAAGGCAACGAAAAAGCCGATGGAGGTTGGGCTAGGCAAGTGATCATCGGCATCTTATTCTGGTCCAGAGCCAGTACTGGGAATACCCAAATGTATGGCCCGTAGTGCATTAAAACTCTTTGGATCAGGGAAAAGCAGAATGTCCACTGGAGAAACAGACAGGGGCACAGGCACAGCAAGTTAAGTTTTTATTCAAGGGACCTAGCTCCAAAACCGCAAAGGAACTGGTAATGCTTAGCAGGAATAAATTGCGGATTACAACAGGCCTCTTGACAGGACAACATGGCTGTCAAGTGTTACCTGAACAAGCTCAATCTGTATCAAGGAAGTCTTTGCTGCAGACTCTGCGTGATAAAGATCCTGAAACAAAGTGGAGCACATAATATGTCACTGTGAGGTTCTGATCGCAAGCGACACTTTTATTTGGAAAAAATGGGGTGGCTTTTTGGTCTACCAATAAGAATAAGGAAGAGGGCAAAGACACCCCATATAAGCAAACTAACTTTGCCCATCCAGTTTTTTATTTATTTATATATATATATATATATATATATATATATATATATATATATATATATATATATATATATATATATATATATATATATATATATATATATATATATATATATATATATATATATATATATATATATATATATATATATATAAACAAAACAAACAGATGTCAATTAAAGAGGGGAAGTGACAGCGAGACCTGGAAGATGTCTGCCATCTTGCCGTCGACAAAAATTTGGATGCGCACTCGTCGAAGCTCATTCTCCCACTTCCATATCTCTGTGTTAAGGTCATCTGAGGGCGGGACATATAGTTAGGTTAGGTCGAGTCCACACGGGTCCGCAACAATATACTACTCGTATACCTAACAGAGAGAAAATGTGAACGTATGTATATATTATTCTTTATATTTTATGTTTAGTTATATTTATGCATTGTCAGTTTTCTTATTTTAAGAATTATGATATGTTTTGTTTATTTTTATTTTAGTAATGTACGGTATATGTCTCCAATTTTTAAGATGTTATTAAAGAAGATTTCCAATTAATTTTTTTATACTTATTCATTAAAAACCCTACCATTAACCATAAAAAATGTATTAGGAAATTAAATTTAGTAATTTTACCACCTAGCATTATTGTTTTTATTAATAGGAAGAATTTTTGACGCAGTAAAAACCAAATTTTTAATTTTAGGTTACTTAAAGATTGCAATATTATGTTATATAAAGGAGTTATAGGGTATAATTTATGTCACCATTATGTAGCATTTCTTAAGTAACCTAAGGTTTGTTTATGCTCGTTCAAAAATCCTTCATATTAATGAAAAACAATAATGCTAGGTGGTTATAATACTAAATTTCATTTCCTGGATACGTATAAATTTGTACGTAAAAATAACATTTAATAAACGGTTCTGTTTCACGTATAAATGTATATAGAAAAATAACATTTAATACACGTATTTGGTCTACGTGTAATCCTAGTATATCATAAATTGCTAATATACGTTTACCATCTTGTATAATATTGGTATATGTATATACGATTATAAAAGGAATAGAGAAACCTTAAATATATACGTTGAAGTCGCGGACATTTTGCAGTTTATTATACGTTTCACATTCTTTGTCGTATACCTAGATGAGACGGACGGTATTAGATCAGTTTAAACGTATAATATACCATTGTATGTTGCTTGGGTACATATGATAGCATGTGCGCGACTTGTCGATAACTCAAGGTCCAAAAATTCGTTTTTTGCGCATTTTTTGCAAATATCTTGTTCCCTTTCACATTTACGCTATTTGTATTTATTATAAATGTTGTAGAGGATAAAATTCTCTACAACTTTTGTTTCAAAAATTTTTTTGGATCTCAAACCGTTTTTGAGATAGAGGGCGGTGTGCGTGCAGTCTTTCATTGTGTACGGTATCATTTCAAATACAAGTTCAACCTGTAGTCTCGGTCAAAAACAGGTCGTATAAAGTCCGTTAATTATTGAAAAATATATAATTATATATAATTTACATTTTTTTATAAAAGATCATATTGAATATTGAATATTATATTTTTTTTCATAAATTAAGTATATCTTCATTAAATAACACTTACCTCTTTGTACAATTAGAAAATTATTAACAGAAATACTTTAATTACATTTTAATTATAGTTATATTTATACTAATTTCATTTTAAGTAAATAAAAAGACAAGAAATACATTTTTAATTTATATGTCTAATAAAAAATACGATTTCATACATTTCTCATGTTTGAAATTAAAAAAATTGAATAAAAATAAAAAGAACGCCATGTTCTTATTTTTAGTTTTCTTCTTCTTCTTTATCATTGTCGTCTGGTCGTTGTGGAATTTTAAATTCTTCTTCATTTTCATCTTCAACGACATTTGTCTCCAAGTCTTCTAGGATTTCGGGGTCAAATGTACTATCTTCATTGACATCACTCTGATAGGGTGAAGCATTGAGACAAGCTTGCCCATTACACTGGCCACAAGCTAAAGAGCACGGCAACCCTGATTTCCTGCATCCACATCGCGAACCACAACCATTCTTGTAGTTGCAGAATATTGTGTTCAGCAAATTTTCTGGAGCTGGAGGTAGAATAGTAGTGGTAGGTTCCAGGAATCCATTACCTACGCATTATCCAACCCCAGTCTTGTGGTTCTAAATCATGCCCTAATCAAGTCTGAACTTGGTAGTAAACACGATTGAAATGTTGTTTTTGACCGAGACTACAGGTTGAACTTGAATGATACCTAATGTACATAATGAAAGACTGCAGGCTCACCGCCCTCTATCTCAAAAACGGTTTGAGATACAAAAAAAAATTATGAAACAAAAGTTGTAGAGAATTTTATCCTTCTCAATATTTATAGTAAATACAAATAGCGTAAATGTGAAAGGGAATGAGATATTTGCAAAAAATCAATTTTTTGACCTTTGACGTCAGTTATCTACAAGTCGCGCACACGCTATCATATGTAGGTTTTGAGACATGTTTTAGGATGTTAAAATAAAGGTTTATACGAGTTTACAACCAGTTATCTCGAATTCCGAGGTGAAACCCCTAAGATGACTGGACTAAATAGTAATGTTCGGTTATAACGAACCTCATGGGACCGGCCAACCGGCGAAAACGGTTCGTTATAAGCAAATTTCGCAATAAACGATAAATGCTGATAAATATAAAAGATGTGGTATTTTTATTAATACATAGATATGGTACATAAAATATATTTTGTAATATGGTAGATACATTAACAACTGTTCTTAAGAGTCTAATTTAAAAAAAAAAATATTTTATTTTAGTTGTTTTATTTTTGTGAAATGAGTATTAATAATATGTAATTCTACTTCGGGTAATTGATTAAGAACACTTTGCGGAGTATTTCGTGACTGAAGGAAATGACGAACGTTATCAATATGTTGAAGTGCCTCAGATGTGGTCGGAACTGGTCTCAATTCTGTACTCACAGGTTCTTCATCTTCCGCCTCCTCATCGTCATCAATATAAACTGAAGAAGACACAGAAGAAATCAGAATGGCATCGTCATCCAAATATTCGACACTTAAAGATTATCATTAATATGGATAAAATTCATTAAACTCATTTTCAGAACAAGGAAGATTGTTTAGAATATTGTTATCATCTTCTTATCCAACTTTTTTCAGCCATTCGGCTACTGTCAAGTCATCGTATGAATCCAAATCATTTTCCACTTTTAGGAAACCACCGTGTTGAAAACAATTAAAAATGTTTGTTTTAATTTCATCTGCCATGCTATATGAATGAAGTTTATTCCATCCAAGAGGTTGATAGGAAAATTTTCACCCCACTATCAATAAAATGTACCATTTACGAAAGAAGAAATCGACGATAATGGCTCTTTAAGCTATGGATCACACCTATCTACACCCTGATCCATAGGTTGTAATTTGGAACTGGTATTTGGTGGCATGAGCGGTAAAATACCGTTTTAGGTTCGTTATAAAAAAAATCTTACGATCATATAAAATTTAAGGTTCGTTTTATCCGAAAGTACGTTATAAAAGGGTTCGTTATTTGCGAAAAAATTAACACACGTTTAGTAATACCGAAGTTCGTACCTATAGATTTGGTTCGTTATGAACGAAAGTTCGCAATAAGCGGGTTCGTTATAGGCGGACATTACTGTATATTTATATATAATAATTTATGTTTGTTTTAACATTATATGTGAATTTATATATGTATTTCTATAACAGAAGGAAATAGTATATGCCAAGCCATTGCAGAAGAATCATTAGGACTGTATTGTAAAGATTTTACTTCAATAATTACAAAGAAAATTAACGAGTATCATACCTCAACGAACGTAAGTACCCTTATATTATTAAAGTAGTTGTAGGTATAAAAATTACAATTAATGACCGTATTAAGCCTATTCATCTTACAGGTTACGGATGAATTGGAACTTACACATTTAAAAATGGTAAACAAAGACGTTGATAAGCAGATAAAAGTAATGCAAAAGAAGCTGGAAGAAAGTAAAAAACAGAAACAGAATGTTTCCAACGAGTTGTTTCAATGCGGCCAATTAAATACAAGAAAAGCTGTAATTATTCTTAAACGTTTAGAAATATATTACCTCAATCAAATGCTTCTTTAATTATATAGGCTGCTTTTTGTAAAACTAGTGAAATAATAAAAGTTACTCAGGAGGAATATAAACGAATACAAGAAGAAGTTGGCGCTGTATGTAAAGTACTGAACATTATTGAAAAAAAAATGTTAAATGTTTCTGAATGTAAACAAATTGAAATGACACAAAAGAATAACATTCAGGGTATTGAAAAAAAGTGCAAGAGTATTTCAAATGTATCCAATCAGTTAACTGATAACATTTTAATAAAGGTAGGTAAATAAGAATTTAGTACAATATTGTTAAAAAACCGTTAGATTCTTAGGAAAACCAAGGACTCTTAAAGGAAATTAAACTCAAAGAAGAGACCTTAAACGAAATGAAGTTACGTGATTCAAAACAAAATCAATTAAAAAAAACTAAAAATGCGTTGTTAGCAGATACCTATGACATTAAGGGTAAACTAGAAGAAAATAGAAACAAATGTAAAGAAATTATAAATCAGATGGCTGAAAAAAGAGAAAACAAACAGAAGAAGTATTATTTCCTTAAAGTAAATAAATAAATTTCTATTTGTTTACTTTTGATCTATTATTTCAGACTAGAAGAAATTTTAAAAGAAACGAAACGCATTGAAGAACATTTTAAAACTTCGTCACAATTACGTGAAATAAATGAAGAAAAAATAATTCAACTTGAAAAAATAACTTCGGAAAACCGTAAAGAAATAGAGGAATTAAATGAAAAAATCGATACTAAAAAATCCGAAATCGGCAAGAACACAGAAAACTACTCAAAAGAAATTGAAAATCAACAAAACATTTTAAGTACTATTGATAAAAATATTGACAATATAATCACAAAACACGATGATTCTTACAAGGTTATTTTCATAAAACATTTTTGTGGTAACATTATAGAAAATATTTGTATATTTATTTAGATACTGCAGACCAAATCTGAGGATCTAAAAATTATCAGATTAGAGAAAGAAACACTTTTGTCTTCACTTTATAATAAAAAAATCGAATTTAATAAGTTGCAATTTAGCTGTTCCCAAGACCAATCAAAAATAAACGCAAGAAATGAAAAATTGTTGGAAGACAAACAAGGTGTTGTAGAATACATAAAAACTATAGAAAAACTGGACAAAGATTTGTATGAACTGAACGTTACTTGGGAAAAATTACCCAAGGAATTCGAAGAAGAGAAGCAATTGAAATTAAATATACATAAAAAGGAGATAAAAGTGTATACCGACCAGCAAAGTTATCTTGAAGCTTCTATTGAAGTAATGCAGGCTGGTATCGAAAACAACACCAACAAGTCTGATGATTTAAAAAAGAACATAAAAGGTACGTGCATTTAATTATTATATTAATTATCATTTTTTACTTCTCCATCTAAAAAAAATATACAGGGTGTTCCATTTAAGGAAAACGAAGAAAATTTATTTAATATTTCAGAAAGTTTGAGGTAGAATTTTGAACACCCTGTATCATTTAGGATTACGACATTTATATTAAGTACAGATGATCTACAGGGTGGTCCGAACTGTATTCCGGAAACTTCAGCAGCATATTCTGCAGATAAAATTAAGTAAAAAAGTTTATATAAATGTATGTCCTAAAATGCTTAGTTTCGGAAATACAGGATATAGAAGTTTCATTTTTATTTCAATTTTTTCCAAATATAATTTCTGAAGTAACGTCAATATTTGGATGAAAATTGGTGTCTGGGAGTTTTCTGACACGAAAAATTTAATTTTGATGTCAATATGACTCCTAGTGCTCCCTACTCTAGAGTGCATCATCTACATGTGTTTTAACTGTTTTGAAGAGTAACAACTTTTCGTCCGTACCTGTATAAAACTACTGAGTGAAAAAATATACATTTATGTGATTTTCTACTTAAAAAATGTCTCTTGGTAAAAATCGCCACAAACAACCGATCTCAAGATATTTAGAATGGTAATAGTCAACACATGTCATGATTGACAAAAAATAAACATTTTGAGTAGATACTTATTTGATTGAAATGGTAAATTTGGGAACTTTTTATTTTTTAAATTAATCATAATTTTTTTTCGAGAAAATGATGATAAAACAAAAGTAAAGTAAAGATTTCAGTTAACGCCTCCTTTTTGCTGCCAGGGCTAATCTGGACGGGGCCTACTTTGTTTACGCGGAATCCGAACCGCGGTCCTCGGCCATATCATGGTCAAAGGCCTACCGACTTAGGAAGTGTCTAAATCAACTCTTACTCACGAGATATCCGATCTCATCTGGCCTCGAACCGGCGTGAATGAGCAGTGTGTATCAATAGATTTTACACTTTTCCCTTGAACAACAGCACGATACAGAGTTTCGAACCGGTCACCCGTCCATCCACCAGTATCGCCTTACGTCACTTAACTTCGGTGTTCTAATGGGAACCGGTGTTTCAACGTAGCTAGGCCGTTGCTTTGATGATAAAACAGTTTCTGTTGAACTTTTGGCACAAAAACATTTTAAATTTATGATTTCAGTCTAATAACTATTTAGTCAACATGTTTAATTTATGTCAATGATTACAGGTATTGATAATCCAGGTTCCAAAAATCTCAAGAACCATTACTCGTAGCGATTTTTACCAAGAAACCTTTTCTACGTAAAAAATTATGAAAAATCAAATTTTCCATGTCAAAAAACTCCCAGACACTAATTTTCATCTAGATATTGACATTACTTTAGAAATTATTTAGAAAAAATCGAAATAAAAGTGAAACTTCTACACCCTGTATACATACTAAGCATTTTGGGACATACATTTATACGAACTTTTTTACTTATTTTTATCTGCAGAATATGCTGCCGAAGTTTCCGGAATATAGTTTGGACCACCCTGTATAGTAAATATTCAGACATTTCTTGTATTTTCAGACATTTCTTGTGTATTTTAAATATTTTTTCGTTAAAAAAGGATAAAAAATATTTATTCTATTTATTTATGAATATATCTGAAACTATCAAAAGGTACTTAATAATAATACTTTATAATATCTTAGGATTATAATAATATGTAAAGTGTTCAGAAAGGAAGCTAAAAATGCAAAATTATACGGAGTGTTCCATATTTAAAAAACATTCGGATCCACTCACATTTTTTGAGCCACCCTGTAGAATTTAAAATATTTTCCTAAAATACATCTTAATACATTATACTTTACGTTTACACTTGAACAAAATTCCAAAAGTTTTTTATTGTACGAGCTACAGATGCTCGGTGCACTGTTGCAGGACCTGTATATTTATACAGGTCCTGCAACAGTGCACCCATGGGTACTAAATATATACAGGGTACAGGGTATCCCAAAATTGCATAGAACTACTACATAATCTTGACAATTTACTTCTATACAAAAGTGATTCGTTTGTCCGTTAGAGGGCATCAAATTAAAAAAAAATAAATACATTTTTTAAGATATTTTAAGAACCGATATTCTCATGTTTTGCTAAGCGCTTTAACATTTGATTTACACAAAAATTAAGAAAAAGTACTGGAAGGGTGAAAACTACCCTCACCCCTACATAAATTTTATTAGAAATATTTTCCTACTCCACCGACCACTGATTTTCTTTTTCGTAAAATGGTCCTCATAGTATGTACCGGGTGACCTAAATCGCTGGAAATTATTTTCAAGTTCGAAAAATGTCCGCCGTTTCTCTGATAGCCAATCAGAAAACAGGGTTTTTTCTCAAAAATAGGCAGGTGAACAGGTATTTTAAATATTACTATTGTAATCATCGAGAAATATGTATTTTTTTGATATAGACTATTTTGCTCTATCTCTTAAAATAAAGTGGTGGGGAACGTTAAAAATTTGCTTTTACTAAAGTAAGGATAACTCTGGTTTGGGTTACCCGATTTAAACTAACTAGGGCTCGTTTAAAAGAGCTTTTCTTCTTTAATGATCTCCAGTATAAATTTTGTTTCCATAATTTTTTTCGTGGTAGCTAGAGGGCGCTGTTTAACATCATCACAGATATAGCCCTTTTGCATAAAAAATGTAAATAGGAGGCTATATTTCTCTTTGCACAGTTAAATAGAGCACAAAATTGCCAAAATATCAGTGCCAAACCACAACTTTCTATTCTATCTTCTTTCTAACCGGAGATATTAAAAGAACAAATAATTATGTTAGGCTGCCGCTTAGGATTATAAAGTTAGTCTAAAAATTATAGTAGTGGGCTAGGAAACAAAAAGAGGTGAATCGGTTGAGTCAAAATACCAAAACATGTATTTTAATACCATTTAATGGTTATTTATCCTTGTTCGTTCTTTATTCGATCCCATTAATTAAAACCCAGACATATTGAATCTGATGACCTAGCTGGCTATGAAAATATGTCGCTCCAGCGTCTCCATCTACTAAAGTAAGTGGTATCCAAGCCCCACACATTCATAGCAAAATAAGCGGCAAAACTGCACCAACTGCATCAGCTACACCAACTGCATTCATGCTGATGAAATTGCAACAAATAAACGCAATTTCATCATGATGGATCCCCTAACAAAATTGGCATTTCATTTCTTAGGAATTATGGATAGTTCATTTCATTCAGATAATTAAGAAAGTCCAATCATTCGCCATCCTAGAATTCCTGCCTAAACATTTACCGACCAACGGTCTTTGTGCTGAACTACTTGCATCAAGGGTAGATTTGGACCAGTAGTGCCTATTGTTAAGATTCGCACCTTCGGTGCTATATGAAAAGTGACTAAAACGACATAAACTTTTAATATAATAATAAATAACACAAACAACAGGTAAAACACGAAAACAAGTAAAATCAAGGACGAACTTGGATTAATAACTAAATGATGTTACATGAAATAAACCCCTAGTTTTCGGCCATACCAAATACGGCCGTTTTTTGTTAAAAGCAAAATGGCGGCACAAAATTCCTAAAAATTTTAATAAAATTATTGATTTCCGACTTTCGGACATTTTATTCTGAGAACTACCTACGTATAATTAACCAAGAAATTCGTAAAAATTATATGGATGGATGATAATGTTACATAAACACGTTTAAGTATTTATAACGTCATTTTTTTTTAATATAACGCCTGAAATTCGGATGCATGAAAACTGAACTTAAATGTTTTGATATTTTGACGTACCCAATATACCTCTTTTTGTGTCCTAGCCCCTTAGCGGACATTTTTCGAACTTGAAAATAATTTTGAGCGATTTGTCTTGGTCGATTTACTTATTAGAATTTTTTCCCAAAGTTATACGATAAGTAGTTTCTGAGATACAGCCGGCGTCCATTCTTAGTTGGCCACTGGCCACCCGGTACTATATTTTTGTCTCTTTTGAATAAATGATTTTTTTTCCTAAGCAGACGTTCATAGAACAATTAGTTTAACTTCTACTACGTCTAAGTTCATAGAACAACTACGTATTTTTTAATCAAAATAAGTTAATTGGCCCAATTTACCTCTTTACCAAAGTACATACTACCTTTGTCCTTTAGAGGGAAAAATAAACAACAAATAAACCCCAGCGTTAATTAATTTAAAATATATGAAGCTTATTGTCAAATATCATTTCTGATTCTAACATAAAATTTCATATTTTTGCCAAATAGATTATTAGCGCATCAGAGATTTTATGCGCCTCCATAGCTTGATATGACAAGAAACATTTTGTGGTAGTCAGATTCGGTAAAAAATGTTTTTCCTCAAAAAAATTTTTTACAAGAGACAAAAAATGTAGTAAATACTAGAAGAACCATTTTACGAAAATAAAATCTTATACTAAAATTTATGTAGGAGTGGAGGTAGTTTTTACCCTTCCTGTACTTTTTTAATATTAAGTTTTTAAGCACTAACAAAACATAGAATATCTTAAAAAATGTGTTTATTTTTTAAGTTTGATGTCCTCTAACGGACAACAAAGCACTTTTGTATAGAGGTAAATTGTGTCCAATAAACTTATTTTGATTCCAAAAATACGTAGTAGTTCTATGTCTACGGAATATTGGGACATCCTGTATAGTATATTTCTGACATACAAGGAAATATCTACCTATTTTTATACAATTTTTCTCTGGAAATTGTCTGAGGAATCGCCTCTGAAATTTTCTCGACAAGTTGCTTAATATAAAATATTCAATATTTATTGAACTAATGAATCTAATGAATATATTGCTTATTTAAAGACTGTGAAGCTGATATAAAATGGGATCAAATAAGATTGGCGGAGCAACAGAAGTCGTTAAATGCTGTGAATAAAAATATACAAACACTAGAAGAAGAACTAAAGAAGGAAGAAGAAAAAGAAAATGTTAGTGAAATTCACTTTGAAATTCCAAAGGAAGTTGCTCCTAAGGTAAAAAAATATTAAAATACACTCAGATGCAAAAAAAACGCAACGGAAAAATTTTTGGTCAAATTTAAAGTGTTTTATCTTTGTTATTTTTAGCCCTATTTTTATATTTTTTTAGCAAACTGGGTATAATTATATCAACTTTAATTCGTAAACCAAGTTTTTCATAAACTTTAGTATTTGGTATATTATACAGAGTTATTCAAGGGGTTGTTTTTTACCTTAACTTTAAAACACCCTGTGCAATAATTTCGTGTGTAAATTTTCCTACAATATAATTTTACGGTCAGAACCATGACTCCTGAGCATTTTGTTTTTTGATTCATGTCAATACATCCTTTGGTTAATTTTTAAGAGCGAAATGAACTGATCACGATCAATTTGCAATTTTTTCAGTTATCTACTTTTTGATGTAATTTTTTAATATGACAAGATGGTTTTGGTGACTATTATCGTAATGTCATGTTACGCTGCATTGGATACTTTATACTAAATAAAAAAAAATCAATGAGTATCGATACAGTCCTGGTTTTAATAAACATTAATAAACATTAACAGAATTAACGATATTTAACAGAACTAACGATATTAAAGAAAGCATCTGTAATACTTAAGTATACAAACAGAAAAAAGAGTTGTAAAAAATATCCTAATACATTGCATTGCTTTCCTTGGCTACTATATATAACTGCCTGTATACGTCCGTTCATACTGTCATTGAGGCTGCATAAAATATCATATTGCGTTATGCTTTCCCATTCTTCTTTAAGAACCAAGCGAAGTTCATGTAATGAAGCTGGTACTGCTCTGCGACCTCTAACCCTCCTGCCAAGCATGTCCCAAACGTCGAACATGATGGGCAGTTCATAGTAGTATATATTTCACAATAATCACCAAACCGGCTTGTCATATTGAAAAATAACTTCAAAAAAAAAATAGTTGAAAAAATTGTAAATTGGTGGTGTCAAGTTCATTTCACTCTTAAAAATTAACCAAGACATATACTGACATGAACCAAAAAACAAAATGCTCAGGAGACATGGTTCTGACCATAAAATTATATTTTAAAGAAATTTACACACCACATTATTGCACAGGGTATTTTTATATTATTGCACAAAGTTTATAAAAAACTAAGTTTACAAATTAAAGTTGATATAATTATGTACAGGTTGTTAAAAAAATCATGAAAATAGGACTAAAAATAACAAAAATAAAACACTTTAAGTTTGACCAAAAATTTCTCCGTTGCGTTTTTTTGCATCTGAGTGTATAAACCAGGGGGGTGGGGGGGGTACTAAAAGATCTTCTCTCAAACTCACTCTGTATACATAGCCACTATTAATGCGAATTTAATTTTAGAACGACACAGAGAATAATATAGTTTTCAATGAACTAATTGAGGATGAAAATAAAGAAGTAGCAGGTAACTCGAGCGGCAGAAAGTCTCCCGGCATCCTAAAAACATCCTCGAGAAGTCCAAGAAGTCCTCAGACTCCGAACAAGCGTGTCAAGTTTGAAGGCTTATCCTCTACGGATTCTTCTGTTATTTCAGCTCAGGAAAATGCCAATAACGTAATATAATTTCGTTTCAGTGTAATTACTTATAATCTTAATTCTATGAAACGGAACAAATTGGGATGTAATTCTTATAATTACATTATTTTAAAAACTGAGAAAATAATACCATGTTGAGTATTTTTACAATACTTTTGTAAAAAAAAAATTAAACCGTATTTAAAAAAAATATATACGGGATGCGTCTCAAAAGAGGCTCACCCCTATAACTTTTTTATTTTTTGAAATAAAATGACGAGATTTGGAATGTCAATATGACATAAATTAACATTGATTGATGAATTCAGTTGTTCTTGGTCAATTTTTGTTTCACCGGAAATAACTACAACTTTTGATTTTTAATGACACCCTCGGTATTTTTTTACTTTATTCGATAGAAAAAGACACTCTGAATAGAATGTTTTGACATTTTCGCATATGGTTTATTTGAAATTGTAACATGCGGTTCATAACGACAATTTGACTCGAAATACCAAGTGTGTGGTACCAAATAGACGTAAAAAATGCTTTTTCCAAATATGCTAATGAGCCATCTCTTGAACCATCTAAAGAACCATTTTCTATTTGAAAAAATTGAGATATGATTAAAAAACGATTTGGGCATCTTCTAAACATCTGTAAAACCGTCTAAGATACTGACTTTTGTCAAAGCCCTGAGACTATATGATGAGTTATAACTCAAGCAAGGGGAACACAAAGATCTATATGGTTACGGTAAGTAACTTTCTCTCTCTCTCACCTCCCATACAATCTAAGAATGTAGTCTTCCAGGTTCTTGAGTTCTGCTTTAAGTTAGTTTCAACTTGGGAAGCAAAACGGTTCTGGTTCAGTTAGTGTTTGATTATTATTAGGCTGTACCTTCTATCTGGCTGGGCTGGCACCCAGAGTAGGAGAACTTTTTTTTGCCTAATTTGTTCAGCTTCTGTAGGCATTCTTTCACCAAATTCGAATTGATGGTTACTGAGTTGATCGCTCTTTGACTCTGTTAGGTTAGGTTAGGTTGCAGGGGTTTGGGATCATGTTTGATCCCTCACTCGGAGGCCTTCGGCCCACTGCGATACCCCCGTATTGTTAGTTTAGGTTAGGCACTTCCATCTCTTTGCAAAGTTCCCGATCTCGCTGATGTTGGCTTCTGCTGCTTCCTCTAGTCCCTCCAAAAAACCTTGCCCTAAAGTTTTAAAGTGTCGGTATTCCAGTGCCGGACAGTGGCACAGCAGGTGCTTTATGGTTTCTTCTTCCTCTCCGCATTATCTGCAGTAGTCGTCGTTGGAAATCTTCCACTCCCCTCGTGGGGCAGTTTCCAGTGACGACACCTACATTTATGCGCACTAGGTTATTTTATGCTTTAGTAGTTTTTTTGCTATCTACCACTGGCCTGACTCTCTGGCCTGACGCTGTTTGACTATCAGAGAATATGACTATTTCTTGATGACAATGCTCTATTTTGGACATAAAGAGTGGGAAAATAAGAGACTGAGCACTTCCTCTTATTTCTTTCTTATGATCGCATTCGGTTTGAAAGGGAAGGAGAGTCTTGGTAATTGGTCGAGCCTGGCGAGCATCACTAAGATTACCAGAGACCAGAGACCAGATTTTGAATCAACCAATGACGGAGGCAGACAGGGCAGCAAAAAATACACATTTTCAAGAATAATACTGACGCATTATGTAATTTAGACATAACATATCTAAACGAGCATTAAAAATCACTTATTTCAGCTTTTTTAAGTTTTTTTAAATCAAATTTTTAGTTATAAAACAAAACAATTTTTTAGTTAAAACACAAAAACAAAATTAAAAACTTAATAAAACAACTATAAAATATTTATTCTGCGGAAAAACACGCAACTGCATTTTTTGGAAGAACGATTTTTGTGAAGAATAGACTTTCTCTTAGTTTTTTAACAAAATATTGGCAGGACCAATAATAAATAATCATACTGGATTTTGTAATACCTATACATTTTAAAAAAGGTAGAGATAAATGCGTTTTTTCTATCCCTGTTCACAACTTATTGACCACTGTAAATACCCTTTCTGTATAACCCCCCTTATGTAATACCCCCCCCCCCCCGTATGACAAACAAAATTCAATAATTTTTACTATGTTAAAGTGGGAAAGGTAAAGACAACGCAAGTTTTTATTATTTAAGTTATCACCAACTACCACATTTAATAGCAACTATACCGGGTGCGTCTCAAAAATGGCTCACCCCTATAACTTTTTTATTTCTTTAAATAAAAAAAACGAGATTTGGTATACTAGTCTTTGGCATAAATTAGCGTTGAATGGCGTATTTAATTATTTCTGGTCACTTCCTGTTTCACCGGAAATGACTACAATTTTATTCAATAGAAAATGAGACTCTTTGACACAAATTTGACATTTTCGCTTTCAAAAAAATCGTATTTTAAATTTCAATCTAGAGTGCCATGGTTGTGTTAAAAACATTAATTTTTAATCAAGGAGCCTTGGATAAATTGATTTGATCATCTAATGTGGTTCGATAGTCACATAGCTAACTACTTTTCTAATTTAGGTTGGGTGGTGATTTTCCAGGAGGATATACACTGTCCAACGATTCAGGGGTGATTTTGACAGACAACATAGAAAAATTACAGAAAATATAATTTGCCTGTGAATTAAAATATCAGACAAAACTATCACTGTCATCAGAGATCTTCCTTCCTGTAGGTGATGCGAGACTTTCTCGTTGGTGGGGAAGCTCTTAGTCAGGTGCTAGAGGGTTGTAGAAATGGACTGACTAACCTTTACGGTGTATTACCAGCCTTGTCAGAATTCTAATGTGGGGACGTCAAGTTGGCGAGTCATAAACTCAAGGGAGGAGGACCATGTTTGGGTCCTCACAATAGGAATTGACTTCAAATCCAAGGAGGCAATAGAAGAAGAGGGATATCTTCTATTTTATAGATCTGGGACAACACCGGTATCAGGACTAAACGGAAACCAAGTTAAAGAGGTGGAGAAAATGAATACAGATCCTCCAGCCTCCACCACAAGGGTACCTCAACCGGAGACAACATCCTCGACTGTGAAGGACACGGAGGGCTAATCTTTAAACTCCAACCGTGAAAGGGTATACCGAGTGCATCTCAAAAGTGGCTCACCCCCTATAACTTTTTTATTTTTTCAGATAAAAAAACGATATTTGGTATGTTAGTATATGACATAAATTAGGATTGATTGACGTATTCAATTGTTTTTGGTCACTTCCTGTTTCACTGGAAATGACTACGACTTTTGATTTTTCAATGGCACCCTTGGTATTTTTTTACTTTATTCATTAGAAAATGACATTCTGAATAGAATGACATATCATATGTCAACTTTTGACATTCTCGCTTAAAACAAAATTAAATTTTAAAATTCAATCTAGAGTGCCATGGTTATATTAAAAACACCAATTCTTAATCAAGGAGCCTTGGAAAAATAGATATGATTGTCTAATGTTTTTAGTGTCTTGTCCTGGCCAGTTAGAAAATGCTCAAATCGTATTTTTAATCATATCTCAATTTTATCAAACGGAACGAGGGTGGCTCGTTAGGATAATTGAAAAAGCATTTTTTTACGAATAATTTGGTATCACACACTTGGTATTTCGAGTCAAATTTTCGTTACAAACCGCAAGTTATAATTTCAAATAAACCATATGAAAATGTCAAAAGTTGACATATGATATGTCATTCTATTCAGAGTGTTATTTTCTATCGAATAAAGTAAAAAAGTACCGAGGGTGCCATTTAAAAATCAAAAGTTGCAGTCATTTCCGGTGAAACAGGAAGTGACCGAAAACAATTGAATATGTCAATCAATACTAATTTATGTCATATACTAACATACCAAATCTCGTTTTTTTAACTGTAAAAATAAAAAAGTTATAGGGGTGAGCCACTTTTGAGACGCACCTGGTATAATCTCGTAGGAAGTAGATGTCCATTCCTCCGAGACTCCGAGGATGAACAGTTGTTGTCAGAGGAGAATGGGAAATATCCTTTCCCCCTACAACAGGAAGATCCCCATATATGATGAGTTATAAGGTCTGTTCTCAGAAGAATCCCTGACTAGTCAGCACGTTTCTCATTGGTTAAAATGCGTAGAAACCTGATTGTTAGTCTAGTTTCTACACAATTCAACCAATAAGAAACGCGCTGACTAGTCAGGGATTCTTCTGAGAACAGGGCCATAGACTGATCATCGGTGACTGATCACGGTGATTAACCCCACTTCCACTCATTCTACATTCTACAGGGATGCTCCTGTTGGATAGATTATATCTCGGATTATATGCACTGTGTCTAATGGGACCTATGTACCTGTAGTAGTCCTGTCAAATTAATATTAATTTTATTTATATTAATGTTACAAATACTAAAAAAATAACACATATTCAATTTGAAACAAAAATAAATATAAATATATATTTTATAAATTTCATCATTCTGTATACGTTACGGTCAGGTTAGTGCAAAATATTCTTAATCGTTTTATTACGTTTCTAGGAGTTCATTGTAATGTAATATCACTTTATCAATCAATTATTAAATGTCATATGTCAAAACAGTGCATAGGCTATCGATTGTGATTTAGATGAAGAAATACTCATCCCCAGAAATATTGATGGAGATGGATCTGTCGACTAATATTTTTTATTTTTATTAAATGGCGCCCCTTGTGTTTTGAATGTTATATTGGATAGCACATTTTTTTTGATTTTTAAAATATACATGCCCTCTCCGTTTAATAGTTTTATCAAAACTCGATAAAACGTATCTAATATGATTGTTTTCACGTTATCCTTATAGTGTGAAATATTTTTATTTTTACATACTTTTATCAAATTTAAATAAATCAAACTATGTATATAAAAAAAGTACATATAAACAGAAAGTAGTCTCGACTGACTAGTGAGAAAGAAGCAGTGGGGTTGCAGTCGGAAGGGTTTGACAAAGAATTAATACACTTTGTTAATTGTCAGGCGTGAAGGCGCAAAGCAACCGACAGGCGCCTTCACGCTTTAGATTGAGACGCAATTGAATTTTTAATCGAACATCTCTTAATTATTCCAATGTTTTAAATAAATATCAGGCGGCTTAACCGCCCCACAAGAGCCCTCTCTTTTTTGTGGTTGACTGGCGATGCTTCACGGTGGAGTTTTCAACACAAGCCAATTTTTTAATGTAGTTTTTTTATGAAGGGGTCTCTTGTACCACGTTAAGTAAGTTTTTTCTTCTTAACTTATAGAGCAATAATTGTGTAACATGTATTTCCATTTTAGTAGGAAGGAATGAATAAATTCCGAAAGCTTGACAATTAACAAAGTATATTAATTCTTTATCAAACCTTTCCGACTGCAACCCCACTAGTTCCTAGATTTTTTTTAAAAAAAGTATAATATGTATGATTTATTTTTATACTCAGAAAAATATACTTTTAATATATAGGGTGTGTCGTTTAAAACAATATATTTTATACAAATAGCTGCAACATTTGACATCGGTATTGCAAGTTTTGGTAATACGTTGCAACTCCATTCAAAAAATAATTTAGAAATTGGCTTTTCATGACGTCTGAGCATATCAAACTACAATGCCGAATCTCTAAAGTTTGAGTTAATAGGTACAAATTTTACTAAACGGTTTATTTCTTATATTTTATATTATAAAATGTGCTCAATATAGACACTTTCATTGTATACGTAGAAATTAGTAGCATAGTATGTAAAATTATATCAAATTTTCATACTAAACAACTTTTCTGAGAAACAACCCAATTCTTTCAATCAGTGGATATACCTAGTACTCGTAGATACACGCAATTTAAAACACGTTTTAACGCACATATTGTTTTCGTTAGTAATTGTTTTATTTTATCAGGTTGACCGGAAAAATTTGGACGATCTCGTTTTAGATAACTTAAGAGCAAGTGGCGAAATTGCGAAGAACAGAAACAAGAAACAATAAGTTTACCTTCGTATCTATTTTTGGTTGAATAATTTTTTAATGTCTTAATTTAAATATCTGTAAGATTTTTTCTACCATATTATAAATTGTAATAATCAATTTAGTTACGGGTTAAAACCCTAAAACTGTAAATTAGATTTTAATTTATGATTATCTTTGTTTTACTTATTATTAGTCATAATAAAACTAATCAAATCCTACGAAATGCTTAGTTTTAATATTAAACGAACTACTTACCACCCACACGTTTAACGCTTTTCAGCTAACTATATCGGGATAAATAAATAAAACTACTCTTTTTTGTCACTGTTGAACGGATTTATTAATATTTTACGTTCTAATTTATTAACAGCCTACCACTTTATTAATATTTATAATTACCGCCTAAACAAAATAGTTACATTCTGAATAATTTTTTTAACACTGTCTTATAAAAATGTACACAACAATAAGTTTTCACATTAATAAATAAGTAGTGAAATTCTCACAGAAATAAATAAATAAATATCTTTGACGTCTAATTTACATATATACTTTTTTATACAAACAAAAAAAAACAAGAACGATTATATACAGTAGGCGTAAAGAAAGGCAAAAAGGTGTCGTAATAAAATATTAACAAGAAAATAGTAACACAAATTGTACAGTTAGCCATATACAGAATGATATGTGATATTTTTAGATAATTGAGGGATGGGGTTATTAACATCAGGCAATGTGAAGTAAAATAGTTAATATCATACCATCGATCGAAAAAAGTTATTAATATCTCATATTGTTCGAATCATATGAATCGTTAAAATACTTGCAAAAAATAATACGAGTTTATTTATTTGCTGCCCATTACGTTCTCGCACATCTGCTTTATTAATTAATGTACATTTTGAGTTTCCATCAGTATTTTCTGAATATTTAATAAAACATAAATAAGCGCATTTTCATTATTCATTCCGCATAAACCTGCATTACTATTTGCAAGCATTTCGTTTTTGGCTTGTGATGTAGAATTGGGTTTTAATTTAGAATACGAACAAAGGAATCGTATTAAAGTTATCTAAAATCAAAACAACGAGATAATACTTTCGTATTGAAATAATATTCTCGATTTTTTATCAAATATTTCTTACTTGATATATTAAGCTAAATTCGACTTTTGACTAGTTTAAAAGTCACAAACCAGTAGCTGTTTATTTGCAAATAAGATATAGTTAACGAAATATTGAATTCTAATCATCAGTAGTTTATATTATTTAAACATCATAAGTAGTCAAAACAAAGAAAGTGTTGAAATTAGTCAAACGGTACCATAAGTATTTTAGTATCCATTAATAAATCGTCATGATATAGTTACAAAATAACTGCTGTCATGGTGGTCTTTTTGCTGTCTTTTTTTAAGTTATAAGAAACTTATAATGAATGTGGGAAAAGTCTTCTAGAATTTCGACTGGCTGCCTCGATCAGTACTTCTCCACATTTTATACTTTTAAACAAATTTACGGCTTCTAAATGAGACAATCCTTTAAAACAGATACCATTTATTGATAGGAGTTCGTCACCTACAATTTTGTAAATAAAATGTTATTTGATAGTATAAATATAATTAAGCAAACTGCGGGCTGCAGGATTATCACAATCATATTTTTAATCAAAACCTAATTTTTACGTTATTTATAAATAGAGGAATACACAGGGTGCCAATCAAATTTTAACAGGGTTCAAATTTTTTATTTAATTAATAATAATAATAATAACTGATTTTGGGAGGGAATAATAATATTAGGGTTTTATTTTAAAAAAAATATATCCCGATCCACTCATACTTTTTTGAGCCACCCTGTAGAAGTTAAAATATTTCCCTGAAACACATCCTGATATACTTTAGGTTGGCACTTATACAAAATTCTTAAGTTTTTTTATTATAGGAACTACTACAGATGCCTAACGCACTGTCACACTGTTGCCGGGCCCGTATTATAAAGTATTACCGGACCGACTTTGAACAGTGAACAGCCGCAAATACCGGTTATTTGCGGCTATTTTTCCATAGGCACCCTTATAACATCATGCATAGAATAAAAATAGCTTTAATGTGACATATAAATGACCAAAAAAAAAATGTTATAAACGTAATGTCGTCTCCAAAATCAGTTAATATAAGTAGTGGATTGTCCAGAGACTTTTATCTCGGAATTCAATTACTGTGAATGTGTTTTTGATTTTTTATTTTTTCTAAGTAAATTTATTGAAATAAATGAGTTTAATGCATACGCTATACCTATTCTGTTTATATTCTAATCATTGAAATTTTGATTGAAATCGAATTATACAGGGTATCATATACGACGAGATTTTTGCAAGGAGAACAAAAGTTTGTATCGAACTGAAATTTTGTAAGCTTATGTAAGTCAATTTAAGGCATTTACTAAAATTATATAGAGTTCTACAGGGTGTCCACAAAAAAAGTTACACATCAAAATTTTGTTTTTTGTCGTGTAACACCCTATATATTAATTGATTTTCGGATTCTAGTAAAAAAATGAAGGCGAGTTTCATTAGAAAAGTATATGACTAAAATGTATAGTTTTTGAAATATGTACACTCACTGGCACGAAAAATGGGCACCTTAAAACTTTGATGTATTTTAAAGTTTAATATATTTTGTTCTAGTTGGCCGATTTTGATGATATTTTAAGCAGTATGTAGCCAAATTATTTGACTTTTTAGTATCTCTTTCTAAATTAAAAATAAAACTCCCGATCTGTTAATTATACGAGGGAAAACAAAATGTTGATATTTTCGTGAAAGTTTGAAACACCCTGTGGAATATGTTAAAACAGCAAGAAATTTAAAAATAATTTTGTCATCTATATACATCTTTTCTCGATAGTTTGTTTTTTGGTTCATCTCATTAGCTTTATTTTTGTTGGAGATATTCGCTTTTGAAGAAGACACTAACATTTTTTCGTAATTTTTACATTAAGACCATGTCTTTGCTTTTAGTCCTAGTCAGCAAATCGAAGACCGAAGCAGGTCTTCTTGACATAAGATTTGCTTCATTTAGTCTTCTTATAGTCTGTTAGTTGGTAAATGAAAAGCTGGTAAATGACGGTTTCTTAGTGATAAACTTACAATAGTAATAAGTTCTCATACGAAGGTTCCTGGACATCGTGGTCATAATACAAAAACCATTCAGTATACTCTATGGTATTAAGGTATTTTTGGAACCGGAATTTGTTAGCAAATTCACTGAACTAAACAAATATAAAGCATTTCATTTGAAAAACTAAAACTTAAGTGTAAACATATATTTGACTCACCCTGTATATCTATAAAAATATTTTTGAAATATGAACTACCGTTAAACACATATTTTGAAAAAGGTTTGGAGTGAAAATCCCAAATAGGAATCCTGATACAGAGCTTTTTCGGAACACGGAGCCATCTTGTATGCATTTTTTTTATATGTGTGTTTATTTAAATACTAAAGTGAAAGCAACGAACTTAAATGGGTAAATTTTGTAATATATATCTTATTAACAATACAATGCAAAAAGATTTATAAACATTCGTTCACAGTAAATGAATTCCGAGGTTTGTATCCCATAAGGGCTTAAAGCACTCCACTATTCTTTGCTATAGTATTAATCCAGGGCCGGCGGAAGGGCCGGGCGACCCGGGCGGCTGCCCGGGGCGCCGTAAACGACAGGCGCCACGACAGCAACTAAAATATTTAAAAACAGTAATCTAAACAAATCGTAACGAATATCCAGTTCAATAATTAATCGGTACTGTCAATTTCCACATTAACACATTAGCTATTACCACACCACATATCTGACTAAACCTTATAAACACTATACTATATCCTAGATGTATCCTATTATAGTTTACTGAAATTATGCTCAAAAAAATCCTTAGCACGAAAGCTTTGGGGTAGTTTTGATTTCTTCTATTCTATATGTTTTTTGAGTGCTCTATCCGAAACTGGGATTTGCGAATTCATTTTCGTGGAAGAATATTAAACAAAATTAAATAAAAAAATATTAATCGGATTTGTTCGTGGCATTTTTATAACTCAAAAGCTAACAAATTTTTGTAAATAATCCTTCTTTCTATAATTCTCGTTTTTATAAATTTCTAAACAAACTGTTTTGGGTCAAGAGCCAGCAAAATTAACAGTTTTAGACTGACCGCTCAAAATTGCACTTTTTCTACACCCTTTATTTGTTATTAGCGGCTGTTATTTCCTAAAGTAAAATGCGGCAAATATTCATTCGCAAGAAGCTGAAGAGAATCCGGTATCCTTATTATAAAAAAACTGATAAGTGTGTCTCATTAATTAAATTAATTTATTAATTAGTAGTGGGAAAGATATCAATCCTTTAATGGTTTTGATTGTTCCGGATTGAATATGTAGTAATACACTGAAAATGGTAGCAAAATCGTAAAATTTTCTCATTAGAGGAATCACACAAAGAAATGAATCTCAAACATTGGCTGATCCTCATTTTGCAGCCGACAAAACTGTCTGATCATAATACTGATTCTGCACTAAATATGTAATTGTTTGTGAAAAAGAAAGGAACATTTTCTTAAATTCTTAATAATAAAATATAATAAAAAATAATGCAACTGCTTGCAATTAAATACTGTTATGTTTTCAAAGATCACTTATACCAGAACGAGACTGGCGAAGTTGGAATTCTATTTCTTATGCTCTATATACCGAGTGCGTCTCAGAAGTTTCTCCCCCTATAATTTGTTTATTTTTAACACAGCCCTGGCACTATAGATTAAAATTTAAAATACGATTTTTTAAACGAAAATGTCAAAAGTTGATATATGATATGCCATTCTACTCAGAATGTCAATTTTCTTTTAAAATAAAGTAGGAATATACCAAGGGTGCATTTAAAAATCAAAAGTTTTAGTCATTTCCGGTCAAACAGGAAGTGACTAAAAACCATTGAATACGTCAATCAAACCTAATATATGTCATATACTAACATACCAAAACTCGTTTTTTATCTAAAAAAATAAAAAATTTAAAGGAGTGAGTCATTTTCATGACCGGTGTAGAAAAAACAACAATCGTAGACTAAGATTGAACGAAGAGAAGAATTTTGAAGTATCTTTAAGTGAACATTTATTGTTAAAGTAGCATAAATATGCTTAGTTTGTAGTTAAAGTATAGGACTGAAGGAAAAACAGAATTATAATAACTGTTAAGGAGGGGGGGGGCGCCAGATAGGGTACTCGCCCGGTCTCAATATTTTCCTTCCGCCGGCCCTGTATTAATTTGATATATTTGCGGCAACTTTTTGATTGGTACCGGTTACAAATGTATTTCCTTACTCATAAATAACGTAAAAATTAGGTTTTGGTTAAAATATGATTAGCATAATAATTCTGCAGCCGGATCCTGTACTACTACAACCATAGATAAGATTTCTTATGACTTCTATCATGATACTTATAATCTTAAAAGTACAACGACAGAATTCTGACAGTGGCAGTTATGTTATTTTAATTCAAAAGTAAACATTTTTTGTCAATTTTTGGATAACATCTGTCACAATTGTCCCTTCTCTTGTTGCACTGACTTTAATTTTCCTTAATTACACATTTTTTTATTATTTTACCTTCTTGTAAAACTCCAGACTCGGCAGCTTGTCCGTCCTTGAAGATACTCTTGACGTAAATGCCCATTGGACCCTTTGGAGAATCTTTGCCTCCTACGATGGAGAAGCCCAGGCTCTTGTGACCTGGTCCTTTTTCGAAAACCAGCGATTTGACCCCTACTTTAGTTACTTTAGCTGTGGGGATAACAATCGGGTGAGAACTTCGAGGTCTTGAACTCGACGAGATGGAGAATTTTCTCATGCCATGCGGAGTTATCGCTTCTTGTCGCTGAAATTCTGGAGAATCAGAGCAAAATTTAAGACTGCTTTGGGATGTGGATGTGGATGGAGATGGTGTGTGTTTAAGGCAAGAAGGAGACTTATTTAACTTAGGAGAACGTAATACTACTGTTTCCGGTATGCTTTTTTCACTGAACGTTACTTTGGTCTCAACGATGTCGGGCTTGGATCCAATAATGTCCGATAATCCAACGTATTTTGATTTAGGCAGTATGGATGTACTCTGACTTTTTTCTAGCGCATTGAGAGAACTTTTTCTAATAAACTTTTTACATATAACGTCAGATGATTTACACTCATGATTGTCCACCAAATGATCAGTTTTAGTATATTTAGTTGTCTCAAAATGTTTTTTCTTCGTTCCCAAATTATCTTTTTTAGGGCTCAAAAGAGCGCTAGATCTTCCTAAGAAAGCCCTGAATGAATTGGTCCGCTTTTTAGATAAATTTGTTTCGGTTTTACAAGGCATCCTAGATATAACCAGCTCAAATTCGTTATTTTTAGGCTGAAAATGAGATTTTACAATGTCGTGCGACAATCCTTTGATTCTTATCCCGTTGACTTTTATCACTTCGTCATTAACTTTTAGAAGATCGTTTCTGAAAAAACAATTTAATTAAATAAAAATATTTTTAGAAGAAATACCTTATAAATTACTTGGAAGCTACAGAGTTGTCGGCTATTTCTGAAATGATATAAGTACAGTTACTAGTCGAGTTATTGAGCTGAGGAGATATTTTCAATCCGATATTTTCACCTTTTTTCACTTTCAGTCTTACACATTTGAATTCCCTTTCCAGAGTAACAGGATCATTTCTAACAGGCTGTTTATAACTATCATTAATTTTCACACTTTTGAGATGTTCACAGCAATCGTTTGTTTGGCAATTTTCTTTTGTACTATAAGTTCTCTTTAATTTTACGCTGCGTCTAGTTAGAGCATTTATATCAGTGTCACTGTCTCTGGATTGCGATCTTGATCTTTTCTTGGTGTAGTTTTTCATTGGACTTCTTCTGTAAAATTTACTGAATGTAAATGTAGTTTCCATTTCGTCTTCGGCCGTATCAGTGTCATCGCTAATCTCACTTTTTTCCCTGTATGGGCCCATATTAACTAGAGTTTTGTCCGCGTCACTGTCCGTATCAACTTCTTGGCTTGTCTGAAACCATGGAATATAATAATAATACAATCAACAAATTACTCCTTATAATAAAAAATACACTACTAAAATAACACCTTATTAAATTAACTGCCCGTCAAATTAAATACCACAGCGATTTTTTTACTCATTTTCAAGTTGTAACTTTGAAAAAAATGGATCAATTTTGTTGTGTTTTTTAGCATATTAAAGATCGTTTTTCGTAGATTGATCTGATTTTTCTAAATTTTGTATGAGATTTAGTTTTCTATGATATACAGGGTGTGAAAAAAAGGAATGTAATTTTTGTGTTGTTGCCAAAAACAAAATTTAACTAGAATTATAATATATATATAATATATTTTTTCTACCTTTCTTAAGAGATATGCTAATAAAACTGATATTAATTTTAAAATTGGATATTCGTTACTTTTACAATGTGAAATAAAAAAAAATGATTTAACTAACGCAGTTTAATACAGGATCTCTTAAAAATACGACCAGCGAAAAAGTAAAATTATTTTTTTAATATTCTGAACTTAACAGCCCATAAGGTTAATATAAAAGCTCGACACGTATTTGATATTTTTGTAAAAACTCTTTTTGTGTCTAAAAATCTGTAGTTTAGCTGCAACTTAGTAGTTTTTTTTTTAATTTCACATTGTAAAAGTAACGGATATCCTACAATTTTAAAGTTAATTTCAGTTTTATTAGCATATCTCTTAAGAAAAGTAGAAAAAATACAAGTTAACAAGAGTAAAAATTGATTATCTTTTATTAACTTATAATTCTAGTTAAATTTTGTTTTTTGGCAAAATGGCAGCAACACAAAAATTACATTCTTTTTTTTTCACACCCTGTATATCATAGAAAACTAAATCTCATACAAAATTTAGAAAAATCAGATCAATTTACGAAAACCGATCTTTAATATGCTAAAAAAATCAACAAAATTGGTCCATTTTTTTCAAAGTTACAACTCGTTGAAAATGAGTAAAAAAATCGCTGTGGTATTTAATTTGACGGGCAGTTTAGTTAAGCTACGTTTACACGATGCAAGTTTTGCTTGCGCAAATACTTGTTTGCAAGTACTTGCAACTGAACATTTTAAAATTGTATGTTTACACTAGTCAAGTTATTGTGCCAGAACTATCGATAGCACAGAGATTGTTTAATGTGGTGTAAATATTTTATGTCATACGTTAAGTGATGAATTGCGTACTTTGTTAGAAAAAAATCAAAAAACAAGAGTATATGTGTAAAACCATGGATAAATCTGAGGAAAAACTGTTTATTCCAAAACTCTTTCAGACGCAGCATCTCATAATTTTATTTCTATAGTGTACACTAAGGTGTACTCTTCTAACGATCTACAAACATTCACGCTTTTTGTAAATTGTTAAAAACTTCATAATTTGGTCGTGAGTCAACCTGCTTGGGGCCATTTTTTCGTGCAACTGGTACTGCAAGAACTTGACAACGTGTTTACATGTCAAATTTTCGCTCTGCAAGTACTAGAGTGCAAGAAAAGTAAACCGTCGATCAACTTTACTTGCAAAGTAATTTTTCTTGTACAATCAGTTGAGCAATTACTTGAAACACAGTTTACATTAAGCAAGTACTTGCAATCAAGTTCTTGCGCAAGCAAAACTTGCATCGTGTAAACGTAGCTTTAGTTAACTATACCCGAAATGTTTCGCGAAATATTTCGAGAAACATTTCTCATAAACCTCTAAAATTTGAATTTCTTTAGGACCGTGTGTTAATTCATCAGTACCAATAACTTGAAATTTTTATTAAAAAAAATGTTAAAGTCATTTAGAATTATCAGTAAAACAAAAGAGATTATCGTAATTTATCAGAAATATGCTTCGTCCCGAGCAAACAATTTTAAAATCTCTACAGCGTTTTATTTTGAAATGCGCATAATCCGTTTGATCGTTGTCCTGTAAAAAGAAGAGTAATGGTATAAACAAAATTTTCCTGTTCCATGAATATACAGGGTGTCCCAGTTCAAACGAAACAAGGCAATTTAAAGGCATTTCTGGCGTGAAAAGGACAAAACGGTGAAACACGTCAACTTTATTTTCGAAGGGGAAATATGATGCGACTATTTTTGAAGCCCCTAATTCAAACCCCACGCGGGGGTGTCATCCACCCTTAAAATCTTAAATGTAATGCGGGGTCGAGTAGCACATCATTTGAAAGATTATTAAAGCCTCTTTTCAGCGCCGTCTCATTGTTGGAGTTTTTGTCTTATTTGGCGGAATCGGGCTGAAAAATAAACTTTTCATAAATTGATGATGCTTTGATATTTTATTAATTGTACAAGAATCGACATGGGGCATAAAATAAGAAATTTAGATTAAATCAACAAGATTTCGCTTAATGAATAATATACAAAAAGTAGTACCCTGCTTTGAAATAATTGTGGCGATTTACTGTTCCGTAGATGAAAAATGTACATTCATCCGAAAAGCACATGTTGAAAAGAATACGTGTAGTAGACGTTAAGAAATAAAAATATAAACAAGTTTTTGGTAGGTACTGCTAAATCTTTTTCATCTTGTTATTCAGTTTGGAGGTATTCTTAATATTTTGTACGGCTTATTTACGGCTACGGAGTATTTAGTATTATTGTGAATTGACGTGATGGTTTATTCTACTGAAGATAAAGTTGAGATAATTGAAACATTCTTTAGTCATGACGAATGTGGCAATAGCACGGCACAGTTATTTAATGGCCGACATCTAGATAAACATGTCAATAGAAAGTACGTGCAGGAATTAGTAGCTAAATTTAGAGAAACTGGAAGTGTTCTTAGAAAGAAGCGAGAAGTTCCACCTGGTGTAGTTAACAATGAGGCGATGCAAATAGTAGTTGTAACCAGGGACAAATCCATGCCGAACCAAGAATGAGTTTTAGACAATTGGCAAAACAGCCACAGGAATAAGTAAGAGTAGTGTTCACAAGACACTAAAGTTCCACAAATTCCATCCTTACAAACTTCATCTGGTCCAAGAATTGAACAAAGATGATTACGACAGACATTACAGTTTTGTAAAGAACTAAGTGAAATGCTCATTGCTACTACACGTCTTCTTTTCAACATGTGCTTTTCGGATGAATGTACATTTTTCCTCAATGGAACAGTAAATCGCCACAATTGTCGCTACTGGTCTGATACCAATCCTAGAGAATTCCGTGAGGTTCATACCCTGAAAAAATTAATGTGTGGACTGGAATCTTTGGCGACTCTCTAGTTAGCCCGTTCTTTCTGGATGGAAATCTAAATGGAAATATGTATCTGGATCTTTTGAATTGCAGTATTACACAAATAATTGAGAATGGAGATCACTATGACGAAAATCAACTTGTGGTTCAACAAGATGGAGCTCCTCCACACTATGCTGTACGTGTGCGGTATAGTATCTTGATGAAACATTTCCCAGTCGTAGGATTGGAAGAAAAGGACCCTTTCTTGAATGGCCAGCTAGGTCACCGGATTTGTCTGCTCTAGATTTTTTTTATGAGGACATCTCAAAACAAAAGTATTCGCCACGCAACCGGAGACAGTAGAAGTATTACGTCAAAGAATTGTACACGAGTGCGCGGTTATAACACCCGAAATATTACAACACGTCCGAGAACGCTTTGAGCAGAACCTGTATTCGTGCATGGAAGCAGAGGGTGCTCAATTCGAACATTTAATCAAGGAGTTGTTTCAAATCAGGGTACTACTTTTTGTGTATTATTCCTTAAGCAAAATCTTGTTGATTTGAACTAAATTTCTTATTTTAGACCCCATTTCAATTCCTGTACAATTAATCAAATATCAAAGCATCATCAATTTATGAAAAGTTTATTTTTCAGCCCGATTCCGCCAAATGTAACAAAAACTCCAAAAATTAGACGGCGCTGAAAAGAGGCTTTAAAAAATGATGTGATTTTCAAATGATGTGCTCGACCCCGCATTACATTTAAGATTTTAAGGGTAGATGTTACCCCGCGTGGTGTTTGAATTAGGGGCTTCAAAAATAGTAGCATCTTATTTCCCCTTCGAAAATAAAGTGTTTCACCGTTTTGTCCTTTTCACATCAGAAATGCCTTTAAATTGCCTTGTTTCGTTTGAACTGGAACACCCTGTATAAAAAGTATTAGTCTATTTATTTCATGTAAAATATAGTCATATAGAAAATAGTATGGTCATTATACAATCCATATATGGTGTAATAGTATCCACGAAAGTACCACCTCGTTTTTATGACCAGGTGTGTTGTGCATGACAAAAAGGAAGTTTTACAAAAAATAATTTTTTTTTAATTAATTGCTAAATCAAAATCAATATAGATTTCTTTGAATAAAAAGACTAATAAAGAAGTAAAATGCAGAGCTGCAATCTCACAGAAAACTAACTCTTTTTTTGATTTAAATAATTTTAATGACTTAAGTCATTTGATTTTTAGACATTTATCGAAAGCTGCCTTAAGGCTTAAAATGTATACCCCAGTCAAATTAGTTAAAAAAAGACCCATCGGTGGAAAAAATTCCCAGAGTTTTGAAAATGGTTTTAAACGATTCCTCTAGACTTGGGCTGATATGCGTCAAAAGTCCCCGAAGATAAACGATGAGCTCGAGGAGTGGGAAGGAGTTAAATATCAATTTTTTCACTTTTTTGCTTATATCTCGGAAACTATGGCATCTACCGAAAAACGCTCTATATATAAAAATAAAGCTGACAAAATTCTCTATAAAAATGATTCTATACATTTTTGTTCCCGGACTTATGGTTTCCGAACTATGCCCTTCATAAATTTGGATATTAAATCAAATGGCATATTCCAAATCTTTACAAACACATTTCTTTTCATTGTACATTTTTCATTCAAATAGCATTAAAGAAGTACGATATCAATATTTTTTAAGTATTAAATATAACTTTTAGTATATACTGTAGACGTAATGCGTTCACATAAATCACTCCTTGACTACGCAAGTTATTTGTTAATATGGAAAATGTTTTCTGTTCATTTATTTTGCTTTATATTTTTGTGTAATTAAAAGAATCAAAACAGACATCATGTACATAATATATTAATGAAACAAAATAAATAATAATACATTTATCAAATAATAGTGAATTATTATGTTTATGAATGTGAAGTGACCGGCCGTAGCTCCAGCGTTAGTGTGTCGATCTGCGGAGCGGAAGGTACTGGGTTCGATCCCCAGCCAGTACAGTCGCTTTATTTATTTAAATAAAAATATTTATTTATTTAAATACAGCGACCAACGAGCCGCCACCTCAAGGAAGGCAATGGCAAACCACCTTGAGTATATTTGCCTTGTACAGCCTCTCAAATAGTGCCGTTCGGATTCGGCAATAAACTGTAGGTCCCGTGTACTTGTGAAATACTGATGACACACATCACAAGTACATGCGAGAGGTAGCCGACGCTCTATATAGAGTATGGCCACAGTGGCCACAAATTACCTATAACAGATGCGAAAGAACACCGAATTACGCGTTCAGGTTTCTGTGACCTTCAGAAAGAGTTCATAGACAATCCGCATCAATGTATAGTTTGGGTTATTATTTGTTTGGGTGATAATAATCTGCACCAATATGTTATCGAGGCATACAAAAAGGTCCACAGACTTCGAGACATACGAAAAATCAAGTCCATTTAGCGTGTGTCGCAATTTTCACACCTTAAAAAATTATTTTTTTATAGCTATAGCAACTGCAGCGACTATGAAAAAAGCTGTGTGATTTTCATAGAAAATAAGGGCACCTGTAATTCATTTGAGAATGTTATAAATCGCTAAAAGAGGTTTCAAATCTCTTGGATTTCTATTAATATTAAATAAATTTTATTAAAAATTGAACTAAAATTGTTAGTATCATTAAAAACAATTCAAATTCAAAAATTGTATCAGTCAAATTCCCTCATTTAAGGTGAATATTAAAGTAAATATAAATACAGCTCATTCTAAGCTCTACTTATCTTTAAGAAAAATTTAAATCATTGTTGCAATTGGGCCTTAATGCCATTTCGAATGAACAATAGTATTAATAATGTACATTATAATAATAATAAATTTTATATCATAGTGTGTATTAAAACTTCTAAAACACCTTTAAATTGGTATTATATTAACAACTTTTGTTTTTTAATCCAAAAAAAGGTTACCAATTTTCTCAATCAAAATATTTGTGGTCCTGAAAAGGACCTTCGTTTTCCCATGTTCGTCAAGGTAGGTAATGGGTAAACGGTAAAAAAAAGAGGATAATGAAATTTAAAAAAATACAAAAATTGTTGCCTCCCTCTTGAATTAAACCAAACGATCATAAAATCCCCTCCTCACATTGGATAACATACCAGGGGTGACAGTGTCAAAGGCATTAAATATTTTCTGCCTTAACTGCTCCAAGTTTTGAATTTCTTCATGGCCGTAAATTTTAGATTTTATGTACCCCCATAAAAAGAAATCATTCACCGAGAAGACAGGTGAAATTAAACGTCAGTCTAAACAAAACTGTCATTTTTGAAAACTTGTATGGACTTGATTTTCCAATGTCTCGAAGTCTGTGGACTTTTCTGTATAATCTCACAGTAATTTAATAGATTGCTCGTCATATTATATCAGCTCGTAGGAGATTAGGAAAAAAAAAGATATTTATAGTATAAAAAATTAATTTATTTAACAAAATCTAATAAGATGTGACAAAATAGTTACATTTCTATTGGTTCTATCGGACTTTTTTCGACTATATAAATCTTTATTTTTTGTAAACTTTAATGCATAAAATATTTTCAATCTAATAAATAATTTAATGATGTAAATAAGAGGAAATTTCTCACATGGGTGGTCAAATTCTATAGTTTTCATTATATCAAACAGCCTCTAAATGTTTTCTTCAGTGCAAAACTCATCAAAATTTAATATAAATAATTTTTCCAGCCTGTAAATAAAATGAACAAATTTTTCCACTTTCATGATCAAAGACTTTTAAATGGGTAAATAATTTCTAGTTATCCAGAGATTCGGATTCTTTTGCAACTTTTAGACAAATATCACATTGATGTATTTGAAGACCCTTTTTAATGATGTAGTCAAACATAATTAAAGGCATTTTGAGTTGAAAACATTTCTCAGAGGCTGTTTGATATAATGAAAACTATAAAATTTGACCACCCATGTGAGAAATTTCCTCTTATTTACATCATTAAATGATTTATTAGATTGAAAATATTTGATGTATTAAAGTTTACAAATAAAGATTTATATAGTCGAAAAAAGTCCGATAGAACCAATAGAAAGGTAACTATTGTGTCACATTTTTAATTAAATTTTGTTAAATAAATTGATTTTTTATACTATAAATATCTTTTTTTCCTTATAAATAAACACATTTGCATCCCATTTTAAATAAGATATACAAATTACCAAAACTTAGAAATAACAGTTCAAAAGTTCAACAAAAATCCTACACGCGTTGTTAAAAAGCAACATATAACCACACACTATGTTATTCCAGCAAGCGAATACGACACAGCATAGGTTTCCGGACTAAACGACTGGTGTATTTACACCACTCAATAGGCGTGTCGGGGTTGCCGAGCGGTTTCCGATATAGTCGCTTTCTTTCGCATCTGTTGTAGTTAATTTGTGGTATGGCACTGTAAGAAGAAGATGTTTCTGAATTAATTTTTGGGTCTGAAGTACCTTCATAAAATTCTTCAATTCGTTCTTCAAAGCCTTATAATGAAAATTAAAGGACCTTATTTTTAATAACAAATATTTTTATGCTAAATTTTTAACAGCAGCATTCATTTTTAAACTGTTAGGCGGCAGCCAAGAAGCAGAATAAATAGAGGTAAAATTTAATTGTAATCAATAAATAGAGGGTGTTTAAGACTCACCTGACTAATCTGGGATTTAATCGATCCTATAGGTGAATCTATAGTCGTGCATTTAGTGGAATCACTGCCATATCCGCTTTCATCCGATTTGAATTTTGCAGCAGCTGTGGGCGATTTTGAATTTTGCCTTCGTTTAGGAATTATGTAATTGAGCAAGCTGGTAAGGCTGTCTGTAGAAGAAGATTTCTGGTTGATTTTTTTGAAAGAAATATCGGACTCGTCGTCACTTTTACTTCTCGACCTAAACTTATAAAAGGGTATATATTAAAGCTTTAAAGTATATTAAAAATATAATCTATTAGTGAACAGTTCGCAAATTAAAATACAAGGTCCGGCAATAGTGCGTCGGGCATCTGTAGCTCCTAGAATAAAAAATTTGGGAATTTTGTTTAAGTGTAAACCTCAAGTATGTACTAGGATGTATTTCAGGAAAATATTTTAACTTCTACAGGGTGGCTCAAAAAAGTTTGAGTGGATCGAGATGATTTTTTTTAAATGGAACTGTATATTATTGCATTTTTGGCTTCCTTTCAGATCATTTTACATAATCCTAAGATGTAAATAAATATATTTTGATAGTTTCAGAGCTATTAATAAATAAATAAAAATATATATTTTTCAACCTTTATTAAAAAAAATATTACAAATACAAGAACTGTCAAACTATATTAGATACTTAATTTAGATGGTCTATATTTACTTTGCTATAAATATCGTAATTTTAAATCATACAGGATCTTCAAAATTCTACGCCAAACTTTCTAAAATATAAATTAATATTTCTTTGATTTTTTAAATGGAACACCCTGTATATTATCCTTTTATTAGATGGAGAATTAAAAAATGAACATTTTTTGTATTTAAAGAATTTCAAAATTTTTAATAGTTTCGCAGATACACGCAGTATTATTTCATATGACTCTCTCAACGGTAAAATACGAGAGAAAAATCATTGGGTGGCTTTGATAAAAATTTACTATGAAAAATGCCATATAAAACATAAAACCGCGAATATCTGCAAAACCGTTAAAAATTTTGAAATACTATAAACACAAAAAATGTTCATTTTTTAATTCTCTATCTACTGAAAAAATAATATATAGAGTGTTCCGAAAAAAACGAAAAAAAATATTTTAAATTTTTGAAAGTTTGGCGTAAAATTTTGAACATCCTGTACGATTTACGATTACCATATTTAATGCAAAGTAAGTGCAGACCATCTAAAGTAAATACTTAATATAGTTTTGATTTCAGAACAGTTCTTGTATTTTTAATAATTGTTTTCAGAAGAGGCTGAAAAATGTATATTTTTTATTTATTTATTAATATCTCTAAACCTATCGAAATATATTTACTCATATCATAGGGTTATGTAAAGTGATCTGAAAAGAGGCCAAAAATGCAATAATACACAGGGTGTTCCATTTAAAAAAAAATCATCCCGATCCACTCACACTTTTTATAGCCACCCTATAGAAGTTAAAATATTTTCCTGAAATACATCCTAAAACATACTTTATATTTGCACTTCAACAAAATTACCCAATTTTTTATTCTAGTAGCTACAGATGCCCGACGCACTATTGCCGGACCCTGTATAACAAGTTCGAATGTAAATTCATTTGTAGGGTCTAACTATCTAATGCTCATTGACATTTACCTCGACTAAAATTTTTCTGTAAAACAAAGTTGAAAGCGTGAAAAAAATGGAAGGATGATATTTTTGTCTTACCTAATAATTTAAAAAATATTAATAAATATTACTTACACTTTTGTTGTTAGATATAGAATAACTACTTAAACCCACAGACCACCCATTTAGAATTATTCATAAAAGTATAAATATACAAACTATACAATCATATCTCCTGTTTGAACACATATTTAAAATTCCCCTGAATTGCTGAAGTTATTACTAAGAATTGTGTGATATTGCCCAAAAAGATAAGAATTATACGACTAGGATTCAGTTGTCGCGAGAGGGGAAAATGTCCCTCTAGCACACATTCGGTTGTGATAGAGTTACACAATAACGATTAAATGGATTAGCCTAGATGTATTTATCTGCACAGAGATAAATAAAAAATATTGACAATGTGATACATATTTTCGAAATAAAAAATAAGTGCTTTTAAAAATTGCCTTTGCCATTTTAATTGTAAATATAAAGTAAAATCATAGTGCAATTTGCTATTCACTACTATACGATTGGAAAAAAAACGGCGTCAAAGACGCCTGGGGAATGACAATCAATGAAAATTTTGGCGAGGTCAAGCACTGGACGTCATTACTTGGCCCGTACTCTTCTTCGTTTCTTAATGGAGCTTACTGGCAGCAAAGCTGGCAGTAAGCGCCATTAAAAAAAGCTGGTTGAATTTCGATTTACTATACTCTGGTTCTGAACAGGGGGCACACACCAAATGTGCTGCAAGCTCACAGAAAACTTAAGTCTTTTTTTGATCATTTTAATGACTTAAGTCATTTTTCGAAAGCTGACTTAAGACTTAAAATTTAAGTCTTTTTCAAAATGACTTGTGATTTAAATCTTTATTCCGAAATAGAAAAAGATTTAAGTCTTTTTAGAAAAGACTTAAGTCATTAAAAAGATTTGTCTTTTTTATAAAAGGCTTAAGTCAGACTTTTATTTATCTTTTTGATAAATGTTTAACATCAGTATTCCTTTTTAAACTGTTAAGCAGCAGAAAAAGCAATGCTCAATACCACTAGCAAATGAAACGTGAAGTTGATTTGAAAATTAACCGTTTTATTTTATGTGGTTTCTAAACCTATATTCTCATCTATACCTACGATAAATTAATATTATTATACTTAGTAAGAAAATCGCCTAATTGGTAATACAAGAAAATTAATATTGACATAAAAAAGGTACTTAAATTGAATTCTGGTTGTCTTGACTTGAGGGTAATTATATTGATTTAAGTCATTTTACCGACTTAAGCTTGATTTTCATGCGTCCGTTATCCGTTGATACGATGGTCCGATATTAATTTTATTGGTTGACTTTAAAGACTTCAATTCGTTAGAACCGGTTAACCAATCGAAGTCTTTAAATCCAACCAATAAAATTAATATCGTATCATCGTATCGTCGGACAACGGATGCATGAAAATCAAGCTTTAAGAGTTCATTTCACTAGTCCGAAAAAGTAGCAAAATAATCTTTTGGCATTATTTAACGTTTTATGCAAAACTGGCTAATTATTTGTACACAAATGAAGAAGGAAATTAAAGATAAAGGATTATACTACATCCGTATTGTAGCACATATTTAGACAACTTCTTTATTTTTAAGATTTTGATGGTCAAACATCAACAAAATATTCCTTATGTTTAGACTAAATTTTCTCGAAAATAAAAACACAATTTAAAATGCCGTTACAATACGGAAATAGATTGAAGTTTGTGATTACAGTAATATACAGGGTGGTCCGAACAGTATTTCGAAAACTGCGGCAGCATATTCTGCAGATAAAAATAAGTAAAAATGTTCGTATAGATGTATGCCCAAAAATGCTTAGTTTCGGAGATACAGGGTGTAGAAGTTTCATTTTTATTTCGATTTTTTCCAAATAATTTCTGCAGTAACGTCAATATTTGGATTAAAATTGGTGTCTGGAAGTTTTTTGACATGAGAAATTTGATTTTGATGTCACTATGACTCCTACTAGTAGAGGGCGCCACCTACGTATTTTTTAACTGGTTTGAAGAGTAATAACTTTTCGTCCGTACCTGAATAAAACTACTGAGTAAAAAAATATATATATATATACGACGCTTTTTACGTAAAAAAGGTATCTTGGTAAAAATTGCTACGAGTAATGGTTTTCGAGATATTTGGAATCATCACTGACATAAATTAAACATGTTGACTAAATAGTTATTAGACTGAGATCATAAATTTGAAATATTTTTGTACCAAAAGTTCAACAAAAACTGTTTAATCATCATTTTTTGCAGAAACAATATGATTAATTTAAAAAAAATAAAAATTTCCCAAATTTATTATTTCAGTGAAATAACTATCTACTCAACGTGTTTATTTTTCGTCAATAATGGCATGTATTGACTATTTCCATTCTAAATATCTTGAGAACGGTTGCTCGTAGCGATTTTTACAAAGAGATATTTTTTACGTAAAAAATCACAGAGATATATATTTTTCCCCTCGGTAGTTTTATACAGGTACGGACAAAAAGTTATTACGCTTCAAAACAGTTAAAACACATGTAGGTGGCGCCCTCTACCAGTAGGAGTCATATTGACATCAAAATCAAATTTCTCATGTCAAAAAACCCCCACACACCAATTTTCATCTAAATATTGACGTTACTTCAGAAATTATTTGGAAAAAATCGAAATAAAAATGAAATTTCTACACTCTGTATCTCCGAAACTAAGCATTTTAGGACCTACATTTATACGAACTTTTTTACCTATTTTTATCTGCAGAATATTCTGCCGAAGTTTCCGGAATACAATTCGGACCACCCTGTATAATTTATATGGTTTTGTAACAAATTGCTCGCTATTTAATGAGTCCAACTCAAACTTTTAAAAGCTCAATTTAATAGTAAAAAATCCCATGTTGCAAATTGTTTGACGTTGGTACCCTGTAAATATACGATCGAGGAAGACAAATAAAAGATTGATAAGATAAATTAAGATTGGTGACATGTTATATCTAAAACTTCATTTCCAATACAATAGTAAGAGCTGGCTACATAAAAAACCTTATCATCGTTACATGGCTAATTTTTCTCGTGAAGTATTCTTTTATAAAGCCATTATGAAATAGTCATGTCAACCAGCGCGATCCCGGGGCTTAGAGCGGGGGCGGCCAATCGAAAGGGTGAAATTTTGGCACTAAAAATATTATAAGGTGCACGTGTTATAATTGCAAAAATAGGTTTTATTTATTATTAAGAAACGTGGAAAATTGTTGCCAGACATTTTTAAGAATTGTCGTCGCGAAAATGCCGGCAGACAACGCGAAAGAGGGATGAAATTTTGAAGAAAAAAAGTATGGCATACATGCACTCCGATTAATGGAATGTTATATTTATTTATTTTAAAAGCCGTATGTAAAAGGGCTGACTAAAAGATCGTGGCTAAATCAGCGGCAGACAGTTATCAGAAGCGCGATATTACTTTAGCGCTTTCAGGGAACGCTCGCCACCTCATCCATTTAAGTATAGATAAATCATGTATACGATTTTATTATAAATATATTTTTTAATTATTTCAATAATACATATCATACTGTATCACCTATTTATTTGTATTTGACTCATGGTACTGTAGGTCCTCGCTCCCGCAAATGAGTTTTCTTCTGAGTCGATATCTGCACCGTAAAATTTTTGTAGACTTACATGTATTATGTTTCAATTGATAATGCGGCGAGGGTTTCCTGAAAACGTTTATACAGGGCGAGTCTTAAATAAGTGCAAATATTTTTAGTTATGATTTCGACCCCTGCAACAGGTCTATGAAGTTTTTTTTGCGAATGTTGAAAATCGTGCATTTTTTTAATTTTCCTGTATATTTTAGAAAACTTTTTAGAACTGCCTGTTGGCCGCAATTTACCCACGGTATAATTTCTTAATCTGCCATGCTTACGGCTTTACTCTATGGTTACGACACTAAAATAATGGACGCAAATACAGAAAAAAACAGGTGACAGTTGGACAAAATTATTTAAAAATAAATCAATTTCTTTTTAAATTTTCAAATTTGAGTAATTGGGTTGTTTTAGACTCATTTGAAAAACGGCAAAGAGAAAATATGTTTATTTTATAGAGATCTACCAGCCTTATTCAAGACCAACCCTGTAGAGTAATATCGCGCTTATGATAACTGTCTGTCGCTGGTTTAGCCACGATCTTTTTTTCTGTCCTTTTGCATACAGCATTTTAAATAAATAAATATGATATTCCACCAATCGGCATGCATGTATGCTATATTTTTTTTCAAAATTCCAACCCTCTTTCGCGTTGTCTGTCGGTATTTTAGTGACGAGAAAAATGTCTGCCAACAATTTTCCACGTTTCTTAATAATAAATAAAAACTATTTTCGCAATTATAACTCGTGTACCTTATAATATTTTTAGTGTCAAAATTTCACCCTTTCGATTGGCCGCCCCCGCTTTAAGCCGCGGGATCGCGCTGGCAGACATGACTATTTTATAATGGCTACACAAAAGGATACTTCACAAGAAAAATTAGCCATGTAACGATGATAAGGTTTTTTATGTAGCCAGCTCTCCGTCTACAACTTTAACAGAAATTTACCTAATAGTGAACATAGATCTAAGTCTTGATCTGCGAGATGTCTTCTCCTCCGTCACTTTTTCTGATTTGGTGCTTTTTTCCTCTTCCAATAAATCTTTTTCTAAATTTCCACTTACGTTTCCATCTGCTGGTTTCATCAACAACATGTAATCGAGTAATTGTTGCTGATTGAGCTCGATATGATCCGAAACACATTTCAAATTTCTTTTGCTTCGGAGATTGTATCCCTTTTCACGAACATTTGGTCCGTTGTTGATATTTTTGTACATGTCGTATACCTTTTTAACGTCTTCTTCGGATATTTTCGGCTTAAGGGCTTCGTTGGGATCTTTAAAGAGATTTCGATCGGATTGTACCGATTCCCGTTTTGATGACGAACCGTCGTCAAGTAGTCTGGAATCGGAAGAATCACTGCTTTTGAATCGCTCCCAAGCTTTACCCCACGTCGAAAGACCTTAAAAATAATCATAAATTTAAAGTATAACAATTTAATTTTAATTCTAATTAACTAAACTAAGAAGAACAAACGGATCCCTAAATTTAGTAAACACAATGTAAATTAATTATAGCTGAAATGAATTTTTTAGATTATTTGTAATAATAAAACGTAACGGTAGCAGCTCGTCTGGGTAGGCAGGGTAGGCCCTATAATTTTGTCAGAATTTAAGCGGTTTATTACATTATATTATTTATATTAATGTTGTCAATACATAAAAATACTGTTACTACACGGTAGTGTGTTGTATAATCAATATTAATTTAAAATGTGTGGTTTTGAATATTAAAATATTCATTACCGCTCCGCTGGCGTACGCCGACTGCGCTGCTGCGTTAGAAAACAAAATAATTTTGACCGTTTGAGTATACTGCAAATGCTTTGTTCGGCGATTTTCACATCGCCTGTCTTATACTATCAGCGTCGATGTGCCGAACCCATCGTTCGGTAGCGACTCGGCATAAGTCGGAGTTGTATCGTATTAAACTGTATTAAATAGGCGAAATCTTCACAAAATAGACGCAACTAAAATTTTGTCGCCTCCCCAGTCCCACGGGTCACGAGCCGCCACTGGAACGTAATAGCGATCTTCACGAACCTGAAGCATTTTGCTATGCAACGATGATCAAACATGCCACGAACAAAATAATTTCTCTCTTAAGGTGCATCCACATTGCTCGCGAGCAGGCCGAACAAACGCGTGCATGAAACACGAAAAACATGTCAAACAGTCGCGTCAGAGCGAAATGTTCGCGGCGCTTGCGACGCTCGCGGTGCTCCACATGCTTGCAATCACATAAACTGCCTGTTTCAACTGTTCGGCTCTGACGCGGTACATCAAAGACCCTTGTATCATGAAAGAGACGCTTCGGAGCCATGCGAGCATACTTTACGGCGCGGGCGTTTCGAAGCGCTCGAGCTGTTTGTGTTGTTTGTTTAGTTTTTAGTTTGGTTTCATTCATAGGATTCCGTATTTACTGCAGTATGATGATACCACCATGATTTTCTCATATTTTTTTTGTTCAGAATTACAAATATTTGTGTTTTCTTCTTGGATTAATAATATTAAATATACCTTTAATAAAATATAACTCTATATTTATATTGCCTACTTATCTTAATCTGATCTTTGAGAACTTTATTTATATTTTGGCATACGCCTGGTACTATTTTTGAAATGCTTTGCTTGGAAGCTTTCAATAAATAACCTAAACTGGTATGTGAGTCTCCAGTTGCAAGAAATCTTTCTTCAACTCTGTCTTTAACCGGAATACACTTGTATTTTTTCTTTCTATACGGGGGCCAGCTAAGTTAATAAGTCTTTCAAAATCAGTAGCGGACATGCGATAAAAATTATTAAAAAACATCTGTTTGTAAATCGCATAGAAGTTTACTTTCACTGTACTGGGATCTACTTTTGAAATTTTTAAAATTTGAATTTGAAAAAACACCGCCTTTTTTTCTCTTTGTCTTCTTTGTTTTGCAATAATGATCGCACTTGCAGCCGCTATTAAAAATACTTCAATATCATCCATGTCCGAACAGCTCAAACGCAAGCACTACATTACAATGTGGACGCCGTTGCTTGCAAGCTGAAAGATCTTGAGAAACACGACAAAAAGGAAGCGCAAGCAACGCAATCACAATCAGAAGCAAGAGCGCGAGCAGGATCACGAGCGATGTGGACGCACCTTTAGGGGTAATGATTCATTTCATGGGTAATTATAATCATCAATGTTTTCAAAAGTTCCTATTCCAATCAAGAGCGAAACCTCGTCTTAATTCGCCATAGCTGGAATTATCATCTTACACAAGTCACTTGCGAGAACGAAATTTCGAGGATTATACAGGGTATTTCAAAAAACATGCTCAAAAACACACGCTGTACATGCAAAATCGCCTTTTTCGCTCTCTATGTGCCAAACACCTAAAGCGTTTTAGCATCTAAAGCAAAACAAACTAATATGAACATACACGAGTGACCCAACCAAAAACGCATAGCGTTTAGCGCTTCTTAATATAAAAGACGCTTTAAACGCTTTACACGCTAAAACGTTAGAAAAAGATAGAAAGGTGCGGTTTGCACAAACCTGTCCCACTTTTCTGTCAAACGGAATATGCTGTAAACAACATTTTCATAGCCCTCTTCGTTTCTACAGGATCAGTTCAAAAATTTTGCAATTTGAGACAGTCCCCGTATCTCCGTTATTGTGAAAGGTATCGAGAAGGTGAAAACTGATTCTTGTAGAACTTTTTACGTAGAATACAGTGGCACAGTAGCGTAGTCTGTTTTTCTGCGAAAAAATATTTTTGAAAATATGAACTAAAGTTGTATTTTTTTCAAATGGAACACCCTGTATTTTTATAAATTATATGATCCGTTTTGCTATGAGCTTCTCAAAAATATATATCACTCTATATTTATTTTCACTAGTTACTGCAATATTTAAAGTATACCATGTTCTTGGCCGTGATAGATAACAAAATAAATCCAAAATGGTATTTACTAAAATAGTCATACACATATTAAAATTTTAGTTGGGATTGATATATTTTACTTTTGAACTGTTACCACTGAATCGCTGAATATATATATTTTTTTTATAACGGAATTTACAATAACGGGATGGGTTTGCAAATATCTAAAAGCGTTCATTATTAACGCATTTTCCAGGTGTTCGACATTGCTATAGTTGCCACGATATATTTCATATTTCAAAAACAAATGACAAATTTGGGAATCCATCATATGGGTCCATTGGTTCCAATTCATTGATTTGAGAAATAATAATTTAACCAAATTCTATATATATATATATATATATAATATATTCTATATATATATATATATATATATATATATATATATATATATATATATATATATATATATATATATATATATATGAAATGAACAAAATTCTTACAGCTTTAGAGTATATTAATAAATAATATTTTCTTGCCTTTAGCTGTGTATTTTTTCTAATTTCGAAAAATCGAAAGTAGAGAAAAATTTAAAAAAAAAAAAAAAGTAAAAAGAAAATTGTTTTGCTTGTCGTAAAGGGGGGAACCAAGCTCCACTCCCACAACCGGTTTCTGGGCCTACCCTTCATCAGGTGGGCTGTCCAGGGGCTGGTTCTCACCGATACGGCAAGCAAAACGTCTTCTATATCTACAGACGATGTCGTAAAGTGTCGGTGAGATATTAGTGCATCTCCCGTCAAAAGATGGTAAAGAGCGTTTTTCGGCCCGCTCAAATATATGAAATGAACAAAATTCTTACAGCTTTAGTGTATATTAATAAATAATATTTTCTTGCCTTTAGCTGTGTATTTTTTCTAATTTCGAAAAATCGAAAGTAGAGAAAAAATTAAAAAAAAAAAAATAATAATAAAAAGAAAATTGTTTTGCTTGTCGTAAAGGGGGGAACCAAGCTCCACTCCCACAACCGGTTTCTGGGCCTACCCTTCATCAGGTGGGCTGTCCAGGGGCTGGTTCTCACCGATACGGCAAGCAAAACTTCTTCTATATCTACAGACGATGTCGTAAAGTGTCGGTGAGATATTAGTGCATCTCCCGTCAAAAGATGGTAAAGCGTTTTCGGCCCGCTCAAATATATGAAATGAACAAAATTCTTACAGCTTTAGTGTGTATATTAATAAATAATATTTTTCTTGCCTTTAGCTGTATTTTTCTAATTTCGAAAATCGAAAGTAGAGAAAAATTAAAAAAAAAAAAAGTAAAAAGAAAATTGTTTTGCTTGTCGTAAAGGAGGGAACCAAGCTCCACTCCCACAACCGGTTTCTGGGCCTACCCTTCATCAGGTGGGCTGTCCAGGGGCTGGTTCTCACCGATACCGATTTTGTTCATTTCATATATTTGAGCGGGCCGAAAAACGCTCTTTACCATCTTTTGACGGGAGATGCACTAATATCTCACCGACACTTTACGACATCGTCTGTAGATATAGAAGACGTTTTGCTTGCCGTATCGGTGAGAACCAGCCCCTGGACAGCCCACCTGATGAAGGGTAGGCCCAGAAACCGGTTGTGGGAGTGGAGCTTGGTTCCCCTTTACGACAAGCAAAAACAATTTTCTTTTTACTTTTTTTTTTTTTTAATTTTTTCTCTACTTTCGATTTTTCGAAATTAGAAAAAATACACAGCTAAAGGCAAGAAAATATTATTTATTAATATACACTAAAGCTGTAAGAATTTTGTTCATTTCATATATTTGAGCGGGCCGAAAACGCTCTTACCATCTTTGACGGGAGATGCACTAATCTCACCGACACTTTACGACATCGTCTGTAGATATAGAAGACGTTTTGCTTGCCGTATCGGTGAGAACCAGCCCCTGGACAGCCCACCTGATGAAGGGTGGCCCAGAAACCGGTTGTGGGAGTGGAGCTTGGTTCCCCTTTACGACAAGCAAGAAAATATTTCTTTATTATATAATATTTATATCTACTATATATTTTTCGAAATAGAAAAATACACATATAAATATAAGATAATATATATATATATATATATATATATATATATATATATATATATATATATATATATATATATATATATATATATATATATATATATATATAAAGAAGTTATTAGTGGCTCCCAAAATTAAACAAGAGACAGATAGCAGTATACTTTTAATAATTATTTTGTTTCTTTTATTATCAATCATGGCCTACTAATAAATATGATCTTTTAGACAGTTTTCACCTTCTCGATACCTTTCACAATGACAGAGATACGAGGGGTGTCCCAAATTTTAAAATTTTCAAAAAGACCCTGTAGCTCATAAACGAAGAGGGCTATGAAAATTTTGTTTAAAGTGCAAACCGCACCCTTCTATCTTCACTAATAACAGAGATCAGTATAATTTCAACTAAAATGGGACACCCTGTACATCTCTAGCAGTAAAAATACTGGATAATAAAAATAACGAAAGGAATGTAATATTATAAAGTAACTGAAAAATTGAAAATGGTAAAAAGATAATGTTATAATCCTTTTAACTAAAATCGACTTGAATTTCAACTCAATCATATTTTTGTGATCTTATGGCAGAGAAAAGAGGATTAAATTCGAAACAATTTTAATACTGGGCATCATAATATATTATTATTACATGAATGCAAAATTCATATATTTGAGTTCCCTTCTCCAATGTAAAACAAAGCCAAACTTTTTTAATACCCTGTTTGCAAATATATTACATAATTTCACCCTCCAATATCTTATCCCATACAAAACCAATGATATAAATTTATATCATAAACAACAAACAACACATACGTAGGTTTTCGATTTAATATTTAGGTGGACATTAATTATGAGCAAAAGAAAAAATATTTCTACTGAACAAATGAAAGAGTATAACGGTCATTCATTTTAAATATAGAATAACCCCCCCGTTGTAAAATAAGTTTAGTAAAAATAATTTTCGGATTTTTTTTTAATTCTTGACTACTTGACCTTATAGTACAGGATCCGGCTGCATGAGTATTGCGCTCATCGTATTTTTAATCAAAACCTAATTTTTTCGTATATTTATTAATAGGAGAATACACTTTTCACAGAGTGCCTATCAAAAACTTGCCGCAACTAGGGTTTAAAGTTTTTCCTACGAGCCCGGCAACAGTGGACTGTTGCTTACTTAGGAATTTTGTAATTTTGAATTTTGTAATTTTATTGCAACGGAAAAAAATTTGTTCAAGTTTAAAATGTTATTTTTTATTTTTAGCTCTATTTCCTTGATTTTTTTAGCAAACCGTATACAAATATATCAACTTTAATTCGTAAACTCAGTTTATGATAAAATTTAGTATTTGACTTATTATACAGGGTTAATCGAAGAGCTATTTTTCACCCTTTTTTTTAAAACACCCTGTGCAATAATTTCGTGAGCAAATTTTCCTAAAACATTATTTTATAGTCAGAACTATGTCTCCTAAATATTTTGCTTTTTGGCTCATGTAACATGCCCATAGATAACATGCCTTAGTTAATTTTTAAGAGCAAAATGAACTTGCCACAAACATTTTGCATTTTGTTCAATTATCGTTACTTTTTGATGTTATTCTTCATAATGACGAGATGGTTTGGTGATTTTTGTACGATTGAATATGGTTCTTAGTGTCGAAGATTCTGCTAAAGTCATTGATTTTGTTGAAGATGGCCGAAATTATGAATATTTGCTTGGTCCTTGAAGAAGAATGGGAAAACAACACAAATATATTTGCAGCCTCATTAACATTATGAACCGACGTCAACAGTTTTTGTTTGTTTGTACACTTAGTTCTTACAGTTATTTTTTTAATATCCTTAGTTCTGTTAGTGTTACTAATATTTATTTAAACCAAGCTTGTATCGTTATTTTTTAACGTTTTTTAAATTTTAATGTAGAGTTCTAATCAGTGTCGATTTGACATTATGAAGATAGTCACCAAAGCCACCTCGTGAATTAAACATTAACATCATAAAGTAATAATAGTTAAAAGAATTGCAAATTCTTGGTGGCAAGTTCACTTCGCTCTTAAAAATTAACCAAGGTATGTTTTGACATGAGTCAAAAAATAAAATGCTCAGGAGACATGGTTCTGATCGGAAAAGTTACTCACGAAATTATTGCACAGAGTGTTTTAAAATTAAGGTAAAAAACAACCCTTCAATTAACCCTTTATAATAAGTCATATACTAAAGTTTATAAAAAACTGAGTTTACGAATTAAAGTTGATAGATTTATATACAGTTTGCTAAAAAAACTATAAAAATAAGGCTAAAAGTAAAAAAAATTAACACCTAAACTTGACGCAAAAATTTTCCGTTGCGTTTTTTTTTTGAATCTGAGTGTATAATAACAATTTCCTACGCTAAAAAATATGTGATAAAAAGTGTTTACGAAGAGACTCCCGAATTTTCTCTTAAATCCAAAGTGTCAAATACAAATCGATTATCATTTCTTAATTTACTTATTGGACAGTCTCTCCAGATTTATTATCTTAGTTATATTTCAACTCAGTTAAAAAAAACTTACCTGTTTTCTGTATTTTATCATTTTCTGGATGTGCTACTGGGTTCACCTTCAATTCTTTTGAACCATTCGCTTCCGAGAGAGTCGACGACAGATTCTCTAGTTGAAGGTTCGAGTCAGAACTTCTCTTAAAAAGTCTCATCATTTTCACTGTAAAATTCAACATATCACTAATCTAAGAAAAAAACTAAAATGAAACAACGCATATTTAATGATAGACCGTAAAATAAAGTCCCTAGATCCGAGATCATCGGCAGTTTATAGCGAACAAATTTTATCATCAAATCAAATGAACCAACAGAGACGGACGTGTTTGAAATCAGGACAAACAAAAAGTGTTTACTTGAGATTTAAAATTCGTTGTTTGTTAGCCCTCGAGTAGTTCTCCAAAGTCGTTAACGACCTTGATAGGTATAGTCTGAATACAATTATTAGAGCAAATTTTGCAGTATGTACTTTATAGCTAATGTCAGTGGCGGCGGCGTAGTTCAATACTTTGGAGGTGCACAACTTTAGAAAAAATAGTTTTTTATTGGACCAAAAAGAGCTTTTTTGTCTAACTAAACTTAACTTAACTATAGAGTTTTTTGTAAGTACTTCACCTGGTATCATAATTTTATTTATTTGACAATCGTTTACAGTACAGGTTTATGCGTCATGTACGAATAATATAATAGGTTTATTATCTTGTATCTAATTTATTTAATAATAAATTAAGTTGTTAATAAATAAATAAATTTAACTCTATGGTTACTATACAGGGTGGCCCGAATTGTATTCCGGAAACTTAGGCAGTATCTTTTGCAGATAAAAATAGGTAAAAAAGTTCGTATAAATGTATGTCCTAAAAAGTTTAGTTGCGGAGATACAGGGTGTAGAAATTTTATTTTTATTTCGATTTTTTTTCATATAATTTATGAGGTAACATCAATATTTGAATGAAAATTGGTGTCTGGGAGTTTTTTCACATGATGAATTCGATTTTGATGTCAATATGACTCCTACTTGTAGAGGGCGCTACCTACATATTTTTTAGTGGCTTGAAGAGTAATAACTTTTTGTCCGTATCTGTATAAAACTACCGAGTAAAAAAATATACATTTTCGACGTTTTTTACATAGCAAAGGTTTCTCTGTAAAAATCGCTAGGAGTAATGTTTCTCGAGATATTTAGAATTGAAATTAATTATCAATACCTGTCATCGTAGACATAAATCAAACATGATTGACTAAATACCGTATGATCGAGAAAAAACGGCGTCCAGTTAGCTCGGAAATAACGATCGATGACATCTGCCATATTTAATTTACTAATTTACATATAAAATGACACCGATTTTCATTACATAGCCATCACTGACGCCGTTTTTTTTTCGATCATACAGTAGTTATTAGACTGAAATCATAAATATGAAATGTTTTTGTGCCAAAAGTTCAACAGAAACTGTTTTATAGCATCCTTTTTTTCGCAGAAAAATTTATGATCAATTTAAAAAAAATAAAAATTTCCGAAATTTATTATTTCAGTCAAATAACTTTCTACTCCCTCTGTTTATTTTTTGTCAATAATGACATGTATTGACTATTTCCATTCTAAATATTTTGAGAACGGTTGCTCGTAGCGTTTTTATCAAAAGACATTTTTTACGTAAAAAGTGACAGAAATGTATATTTTTTCACTTAGTAGTTTTATACAGGTACGGACAAAAAGTTATTATTCTTCAAAACAGTTAAAACACATGTAGGTGGCGCCATTTACAATTAGGAGTCATATTGACATCAAAATCAAATTTCTCATGTCAAAAAAACCCCAGACTCCAATTTTCATCCAAATATTGACTTTACTTCAGAAATTATTTGGAAAAAATCGAAATAAAAATGAAACTTCTACACCCTGTATCTCCGAAACTAAGCATTTTCGGACTTACATTTATACGAACTTTTTTACCTATTTTTATCTACAGAATATGCTGCCGAAATTTCCGGAATACAGTTCGGACCACCCTGTATATTAGACCATTATTTGTTATACTCTGTTTTTTTTCTCAGGTAAGATTTCGACAGACGATGACAGAAGAAAAGCAGATGACGTCCCATACCAATCTATTTATTTTACTAAAAAAAGTTTCTAATTATTTTTAAGTTATCTATGGATGGGTTTAAATATAAATCCGTCATTCGTCGTGTCTTGTTGTTTTTAACCAGTTTTATTGGTTTATTTAAAAAATGACAGATCGTATTTCAATTTTATTGGTTTGACGGAACGATGAACGATAAACGGACGCCGATGCGTATGAACTCGCCTTTAGATTTTTGTCATTTTTGACGCTTGTCAAAGTCTTGCCAAATTATAGGTTATAATTTTGTGTCAACTTTTGTTAAATACCCTGCGTTTTGGAAGATGATGCATTTTTGATTCGTATTATACGTGTGTTTTGTGTCTTTTGAAGTCAATTGGAGGAAAAATCGAGTGAAAATTAACTGTAGACCCAGAGCACAGTTTATGGTTAATACTCGCTGCCCAGGCAGAAAGTCTTATACACCAATGAAGTTGCCATCGATAAAGTTTGTACACCATTTCGTCGTAGATAAGTGCATCTCGTATATGGTAGAAGGATCAAACTAAACACATACTAAAAACTGGAGTAGCTGTAAAATATCGACATCACACGATAGGTAAATAATGGATTTTAGTACTGCAGAAAAATAATGTCAAAAGGTACTGGTTTAAAAAAATTAAGATTAAAGTTAATTAATCAACCTTTAAGGTATAAAATTTGGTAGGAGTTATTATTAATAAAATAGTTTGTTTTATTTACCTATGTTGTTTTATTTATTCCGGTGGAATATTACAAATTTGTATTTGTACATAAGTTACATTGATAAATATAATCATAAATGCGGGTAGTTTCATAAAGCTTAAAAGTAAATTATAGTTCTTTTTTATATTTTTTTGGTATGTAGTGTCTTGTTCTTGTTTGTTTTGTATTAACACATACCGTTTTTATTAAATAAAATAACTCGATTACCTTTTTTCAGTTAACATTCAGTTTTTTCAGTTAAATTATACAGTTTTTTTCACAATATTTTGAAGTAATCACTTGTCATCTTGTCAATCAAATTTTAAATATTTCCTGCTATGCGTTCCAGTTGTACCAACTTATTTCTTTGTAAAATAAAATAAACTACTTTGAAATTAAAATGACAGACACATCTATCACTGTCAAGGATCTTCTCGTTGGACAGACTATACATTCTTAGAGTTTATTTAAGTCTCAAAAATCGCTACTACTGAGGTTTTGTCCCGCTAGAATTAGCATTCGCCGCATTGTGCCGCGCCGCACCGGCGTAAAGCCGCCGCGTGTGTCCTCACCCTTAGATCTAAATGTACGTGTAGGATTGGTGCATTTCAGTTGATTTCAACAAATTCCGACCGCAGCGCTTCAACGGCAGAAATCAGAAATTATCAATATGTATTTCAGGTCGTCCCGATTACAGTTCATGTTGATCGCAAATAATATTGAAATCTGTCCGCAAACTGAAATCCAAGCGGGATTATAGGGGACGCCCTTGATTATAAGGAACATTTATTGCATATTCTCAAAAACCAAATAGATTATCATAAGATCAAAGATAGATCCATAATAAATAATAAGCTAATAAAATTAGTAGATAAAATATGATGTTTCTCCAGGTCAGAAAAAAGATTAAACCATTATGTAAAATATTTTTCTATAGGCAGTTAGATATAAATAAATCTAGTGTTATAAAGGACTACCGCCATTAAAAATGTAGATAAAATAATTATAAAGTTAATTTAGACATTTTAAAAAACAAAGGTGCCTTTAATTTACGCTATATTCCATTCTAAAACCAAATTAACTAATTGCAAAGACCTGAAAAATACTGGTAAAAATACGGAACAGTTTATGAAATAGGAATCGTAGAAATAAAAAGAAAAATTCGGACTTCCATTGTCTTTATTTTGCTTGCACAACATTTCGGTCAGAAGTACGTATGATCGAAAAAAAACGGCGTCCCTGTTGGCTTGGAAATGACGATTAATGACATTCCCCATATATGATTATTGTTAGTTCCCAGTAATAATTAGTACGCAGAAAGAAAAAAATCGTGGGTGTTTGGGAAGGCTCGAAAGGAAACAATGTTTTTGCGACGTTTCGCGACTTTATTGTCGCTTCTTCAGGCACCAAAACATATATATTAATCCATATTATGCCTACAAACATTCATGGCAATTCCAATCGCCAACACTAAGCCACATACGGAAGAAAGAACAGGGTATTTTTTGCCCGATGTACACCGATGCTCGGTTTGTGTCGTACTGACCATGCATGCGTATTCCCCATATAATTTTACATATAAAATGACGGCGATCTTCATTTCATAGCCATCTCTGACGCCGTTTTTTTCGATCATACTGTACCACTGTAAATACATCTTTGTAAATGAGCCCTTAAACACGTCAGACAGTTCAAATACTTTTGGAAGAAAAAAATATTTAATGAGAATATTTTACGAACTTAAAAAATCTTAATGTAGTGACAATAATCATGACAATAATTAATGACAGATATTTTTCAGGAACCGTGTTTCATAATAATAAAAACTTAAAATAGTCAAAACCTTTAAGGTCAAAACCAAACGGGACAAAAAACCATAACCAAGGAAAAAACGTAATAAACCCTTAATGGAAAATAATAATCAATCATATTGATTTTGGGTAAAAAAAATCCTTCGGCGCCATTCTGAAAAATAAAATATCAATTTATCGTTGAAAAGAGAATTTTATGATTTGAGTCAATGTGCGGTAAACATATACAAGGTGTCATTTAAAATTGTTCGCTTACGCTCAAACCTAAAGTAATATTCAATATCTATTGCATCATATTCAATAGTCCTTTAATGAAAATGATTAAATTGCTATCACTGTAACGATTTCGTTGTCATTCAGAATATAAACAGTAAACATTTTATGTCAAAACACAAAGAAAACACATCCCAGCCAAAAATATTACTAAAAAATGTACATAGTACCCTCACATATTAATAGATATCTATTCTACATTAATATACTTACGGATACATGTTGTAAGGTACACAAGTTCTTTGTATCCAGTGCAATCGTTATTGTATATACGAATAAAAAATGTGTTTCAATACGCGTCGATTTAATTTTCTTTTCATCAGTTAAAGTAGGTACCTATATTTATTATTTGAACAACCCCGCAATTAATAAACACCCTTTCGCCCCCTTGAAAATTACCGAAAATATCAAAAAGCCGCGCTAAACGACACCTAGTTGCACCAATTCTACATCACAAGTCGCTGGTTCTGCTTTTACCTTGATTTAGTAACGAAAAGATAATCGACTTCCCACTGCCCACTTAGAGCCCACGTCGATCTGGAGAATATTAATTGCAAAAACAGTTTTTTTAACAATAATCTGTGTCGACGGTCGTAGGACAGAATAACAACGTAATGTCCATCGATGGTAACGTAAATAAAAGTACCGTATAATCAAAAAGTCTTATATCCTGTCCTGCATGAGAGCAAGGAGCGGTTGCAACTAAATTATTTCATTTGTTCGTATTATTATGAAATGAAAATGAACCCGTTAATGAATGTTCGTTAATCGCCACTAAAAACATCAAAGATGGGTTTAATAAAGCAATTTGGGTATACAGGGTGAGTTTTTTACGATGTTCTCTATGGGTATATCGGAAACTACTGGAGATAGAGAGTCGGTTAAATGGGGAAAGAATTACAGTTTTGTGAGGTCATAAATATGCGCCTTTGAGATTTGTAGAATGTAGAATGTTTAGGAGGGGAGTTAATCACCGCGACCTTATAGATCTATTGTGTGTTCCCCTTTCTTGAGTTATAACGAGTTATAACTCATCATACAGTCTCAGGGCTTTAAGAAAAGCCAGTATCTGAGACGGCTCCACAGAGGCCAGCTCTCCATCCTCGACATCAGACGTACCAAGGTTCATGGCACGAATGGTCGTCGTCTCGGCGCACTCAGTGATAAGATGTTCTGGTGTTTCCCCATTTTCCCCACAAAATCTGCATTCGCCGTTGTTTCTCAGTTTCAGCCTACTGAGGTGTTCGTTGAGGAGACAGTGTCCTGTTAGAAACCCCGTGACAATCCGAAGATTGTTTTTACTTAAATATCAAGGAAAACCTTTGATTTTTCGCGGTCATAAGTTCTAAGGAACTTTTTCGAGTGTCGCCTTTGAGATAGAGAGTCGGTTAAATGGGGAAAGAATTACAGTTTTGTGAGGTCATAAATATGCGCCTTTGAGATTTAAAAAAAATCATGGCTTACTAGATATTTCGAAAAAAACAAATTTTGGCTATTTCAAAAATTGTCCATAATTCCATTATAATCTATTTTAGAGAAAAAGTTTTCAGATGAAAGTTGTAGATAATCACATCCCTAATGAGTTTGCGTTCTCCAAAGCCTGTCAAATTGTCCTGTCTAAAGTCTGTCATTTTTGACATATATGACACAAACATATGGGTTTTTTTAAAGGAAACCATAGTAGTTGGCCATGACTTCATAAAATGCGTCATTTTTTAAACGACATTTTTCAGCGATATAAGCTAATGTTGCGGACCCGTGTAGACTCGACCTAACCTAACTATATGTCCCGCCCTCAGGGTGCATCCAGACTATCCTAAAAACGGCGTATCGGCGTAACGGCGTAATGACCTTGAATCGATTTCCAGTAATTCTATTGGCTGAAATTTTTGACAGATGAATTTGACAGATAAAATTTCTGACAGATGAATTTTTCAGCCAATAGAATTACTGGAAATCTATTCAAGGTCGTTATCGATACGTCATAGCATAACAACGTAACGACCTTGAATCGATTTCCAGTAATTCTATTGCCTGAAATTTTTGACAGATGAATTTGACAGATCAAATTTCTGACAGATGAATGTTTCAGCCAATAGAATTACTGGAATATATTCAAGGTCATTACGCCGTTACGCCAATACGCCGTTTTTAGGATAGTGTGGCTGCACCCTCAGATGATCTTAACATCGCATAGACACCGTAATGATTCATTCGAAGTTTCGAGAAGAATCGAGTTCCACTGGGGAATGGAGTAGTACATACGAGAACAATCGAAACCTTCTCTATGCACCTAACAATCTATGGACTATTCGAGAAATCTTTAGCTGTGGGTACAAAGCCGGCGACTGGGGCCTAAAGAGGGCAGACATAAATAGACGAGTACAGTTGGCGCGCTAAAATTCAAAATAAATTCTTTCTAGATAAATGATGTTATATATTGTTGGTTATCTAAAATCAACTACTAAAGGATATTTTCCATTGATGCTTGTTCTATATTTCTGTATTCGGTAATCTTACTATACCAATAATGTTAAAATAATGATAAAGTGAAAACTAAAAATACTGAAACATTACTATTTTATATTGGGGATCTGTTGGTAATTCATTGTTTTTCCTAATGTGTTGTTCTTCAATGTCTTTATTGTTGATCACAAACTATTCGCTTAAAAAGCAAGGCAAGAACATAATTTACTTATTATTTTTAAAAAACTTGTTAAAATCAAGAACAAAGTCCAAACCACTGTCAAAAAATTCTTTATTAGTGACCGGTTTCGGCCATTCCAGCCATCTTCAGACTTTTGTCAAAGATATGTCAAAAATATTATAATAAATAATCATAAATTATTGAGTATTCTCTGTATTACAAAAAATCCTGAACAAACTTCTTAGAAATTGTCAATTTGTTTGCGTCATCAAATCCTCATAGCCTCTAGGCATGTCTTAATAAAATTACTTCATTTACTCACGCCGAAATAAAAAAAATAAACCCGATACTACTACGACTACATTATATTTTTAACTATTTTTACGTCCCACGCAATAAGGCTCGCAGTTGGCCAATCCCTGTTTACACTCGTTTTTTCTACTCTCCTTCCTCCAAATTATTTCAGATCCCCGGGATTTTTGCCCAATGACGCCAACAATCGTCTCCAAAAATCGCAGCCAGCTCGATGATGACTGTTATGAGGTTCTGGCCAGAAAAAGTTTTTAAAAATAGCTTTCGCGGTCAAAATTATTCGGGATCCTAGTAAAGAGAACTCGGATTTTTGCCATTGCTAGTAACTAGAGCTGCAAGATCGCAGAAAACTTAAGTCTTTTTTTGATTTAAATCATTTTATTGGCTTAAATTATTTGATTTTAAGTCATTTTTCGAAAGCTGACTTAAAAAATTGTGTATGCACTATGTGCGCGTATTTGAAGTGAAGGTTCTTTTTACTTCCGTCTATCTGTCTGTCCGTCTGCTCGTCTGTCCGTCTGAGGGTGTATCCAGACTATCCTAAAAACGGCGTATCGGCGTAACGGCGTAATGACCTTGAATCGATTTCCAGTAATTCTATTGGCTGAAATTTTTGACAGATGAATTTGACAGATAAAATTTCTGACAGATGAATTTTTCAGCCAATAGAATTACTGGAAATCTATTCAAGGTCGTTACGTCGTTACGTCGTATCGGCGTAACGGCGTAACGACCTTGAATCGATTTCCAGTAATTCTATTGCCTGAAATTTTTGACAGATGAATTTGACAGATCAAATTTCTGACAGATGAATGTTTCAGCCAATAGAATTACTGGAAATATATTCAAGGTCATTACGCCGTTACGCCGATACGCCGTTTTTAGGATAGTGTGGCTGCACCCTCAGATGATCTTAACATCGCATAGACACCGTAATGATTCATTCGAAGTTTCGAGAAGAATCGAGTTCCACTGGGGAATGGAGTAGTACATACGAGAACAATCGAAACCTTCTCTATGCACCTAACAATCTATGGACTATTCGAGAAATCTTTAGCTGTGGGTACAAAGCCGGCGACTGGGGCCTAAAGAGGGCAGACATAAATAGACGAGTACAGTTGGCGCGCTAAAATTCAAAATAAATTCTTTCTAGATAAATATTTATAAATCGTTTGTAAATAGTTCTTTAAGTCTTTTATCGTTATTGTTTTTGTTAATTAGTGTTAAATAAATTGTGTTTAAATAAATTGTGACTTTCTATCCACACGGAACCAGAGGAAAAACGTTAACAATCATTTTTTTTTTCGATAAATTACTGAGTTTAGATAGCCAATTCTTTTCTTTCTTGACTAATTTCACTTAGTTGGCATGGTATTTTTATTCTGTTATGATTTATCACTTATAAAAAGACAGAATAAATTATTAAACGGTTCTTTACAATTTACATTATACAAACTAAAACTTAAAAAAATAATACCACTACATGCACTTTAAGATATTCTAGAAAATGTTCAAAAAATCCGCCATTGTTTTGAGTACATAAATGCATCTTTTTAAAACTGAATTACTAGCTATTCTCACAGAACGACCGGTCGACTTAATTAAACTTCTCCCGTACCACCCCTTCCAGTGCCTCTCTTAATTCATAAGTTCTTTGGTAAACCTTGTTGTATTGTTAACCATATCGCATAAAAAAATCTAAAATGGGTGATCGAGGAGGTCCATGATCGAGGAGGTCAGGTGATCGAGGAGGCCCATGCAATTGGTCCACCTCTTCCTATCCCTGAGTTTGCATACTTATGATATACATAATTTTTAACATTTCTTTCATTATGGGGGAGGAGGGAGGTGTCATATTGAAAGTCCTGTTAGAACCACTCTTTTGATGCGCGAGTATCTAAATTTAACTTTTCTAACATCTTGAAAAACAACGTCTTGAAAATCGTTCTCTAAAAAACCGGCGCATATTTATGACCCCACAAAACTACAATTATTCTTTTCCCATTTAACCGACTCTCTATCTCCAATAGTTTCCCGGATACCCATAGAGAACATCGTAGAAAAGTCACCCTGTATATCTGGTATATAGGGTGGTGACAATTTCGATGCTCAACACTGGTATTTCGGAAACTGTAAGAGATACGAATTCGGTCAAATTAGATAATAGTTATATATATATTTTCGGGTTCCATTAGGGGCAGATCATCAATAAGGGGTTCAAAGCCTACCAGTTAAAAGTGGCGAACTTATAAAAATTCTGTATTTTGAAAGGGACTATAACAAAATATCAAGTGTGCTATATTTTTGGAAAGGTAATTTTAAGTTCTTTTCACTTAATTAAAAATATACAGGGTGTCCCCAATAAAAAATCAAACTTTCTGTTGATAACTCTTAAATTATTAACGTTAAAAAAATTAAGCATAATTTTAAACCATTAAATTCTATGTAAAAAAGTGCTTTGGAAATGTTTTCACAAAAATACAAAATTTTCCATAGAAAAAAAGTTACTGCGATTTGTTA